ACAGCGTTATAATACTAGCACGGTAAGTTTTATATTATAAAGAGGCGAAAAAAAGTTTTAAAGCTTTGCAGTAATGTGTGATCCATATACGGATATTTAGTTTTATACTGGGGTGCAAGCAGTCGACGTAAGATCATACGTTCGAGAAAAACATAACCTAACCTAATTTTACTACATGTATAGCAATATGCCCACCTTGCGGTGTGAGCAATATGCGCATGGGCATATTGTCAGCTCTTCGCTAATCAGTAAAATATTGTGTAAATTCTTTCAGGTATGACTGGTAAGGCGCGAAATCAGGGCATTCGTAGTAAGTGGAGCAAAGAAGACTTAAAAAATGCAGTCGCAGCTGTGCAGGAAGGTCGAATGTCTCGTCAAGGTGCTTCAAAGGCATTTTCAATACCAAGAAGAACTCTGTCTAGATATATTGATTGTAACCGAAGTGATAAGGCAAAAATGGGGCGCAAACCAGTACTGACTGCTGATCAAGAAGGCGAACTATCTAGAAGAATAATCCGTTTGGCGGAGGTTGGCTACCCGTTAACATCAAGGACACTTAGAAGGTGTGTTTTCAATTTCTGCACCGAAAATGGTATACAAAATGAATTTTCCACCATGTCTAGAATGGCTGGTCGATATTGGCTTATTGGATTTTTTAAAAGAAATCCTGAAATAAGGAAACGAAAAGCACAAAGTATGAATCCTGCTCGTGCCCAAAAACTGAACAGGTTTATTGTGAATGATCACTTTACAAAATTAAAAGAAATCCTTCTGGAACTAGGTATTATGGAGAGACCAGAAAGAATTTTCAATATTGATGAAAAAGGATGTACGCTAAACTTACACCAACAGCAAAGTGTGTTGGCAAAAAAAGGGGCCAAACGAGTTCACCTAGTAGCTCCAGAACACGGAGAAAACGTAACAATTGTGTCCTGTGGCAATGCCTTGGGTAATGCCATCCCACCGGCAATCTTATTCAAAGGTATAAGAATGAAACCAGAATGGCAAGATCCATTACCACCAGGGACACTAGTCCTTATGACTCCTAAAGGCAGCATGAATATTGTAACATTTTGCACCTGGATTGAGCATTTGGCTAAGCATAAGCCTCCAGGAAAATGTCTATTGATTTTTGATGGTGCTAAATGCCACCTGGACTATACGATTGTAGATGTTGCAGAAAAAAATGACATCGTACTTTATTGCTTACCGAGCAACACTACACATGAGTTACAGCCAATGGACAATGCGGTCTTTCGTTCTTTTGAACACCACTGGGATGATCAAGTACTCCAGTATTGGGTAAGATACAAAGATCGGAACCCCACAAAACAGCGGTTTGGTGAAATTTTTAGTAAAGTGTGGGAAAAAAGTGCAACGCCAGCAAATATAAAAGCAGGCTTCGCCGCAACTGGTATTTTTCCATTCAATCCCGAAGCAATAGGGGAATTGGCATACGCTCCTAGTGAAGTTACACAAATAAGAGATGAACTAGAGGACCCCATCGTCCAGCCCACCATAGCAGCATCTCCTGTAGCAGGGCCATCAAATATCCGAAAAAGGCCAAGAACTCCAAGTAGCTCTTCTCATAACGACACCTCGGGTGAAGAAAACGTGCCTGCAGTTCTGATGGATAGCTCGGATTCAGACGACGAAATGTTCTCATCTAATCAACTTCTGCACAAGTCAATAACAGAAATGTTGGAAACCCCGGATAAAGTTGTGAAATCAGTAAAAAATATGAGGCAGAAGGCTATAAACAGTCGAGCTCTTGTAGTGAAACGAGCAGTTTTTAACAAAAACAATCCAGGTACATCTAATGTTGAGTCAGCACTCAAAGCTACAACAATACCTAAAGCCATGTCAAGATCTGAAGCTATAATACCTAAAGCTACGTTAACAACTAAAGCGGCAAAATCTAAAGAAACGAGAAAAAAAATTACCTCAAGCAAAGTAAATGAGCAAGATTGGTATTGTGCAGTTTGTGAGTTAAATGAAATCGCTGATATGCGCCTGTGCTTCGTCTGTCAGAAGTATGTTCATGAGGATTGCGTAGGTTTAACCAAAGAAATGAAAGAAAGATTTATTTGCCCATTATGCGAATAAAATGCAGTTTTTTTATTTTATTTTATAATGTATACTAAGTTTAAAATAAACGTGTACTTATTTCACTTTTCTCATAATTTCAGGCATTTACATACTTGGCCGTATTACCAACACCGTGTTGGTAATATGCTCATATACACATATTTTTAAACATTCGGTGAAAAATATTCCAAATAAATTTTTTGTGACAACGATTTTTTTGTAGCTTCTAAGTATATTGAACTCTATCATGCAATAATTGGCGTTTCTTATTATTCAACTTAACGCACAAATGAAAATAAATTGCTTAAGGTGGGCATATTGTATTCAATTACCTTATCCCGCTATTGGCTTTCCTCATAGTGAGTTGATGGCGAGGCACAAAATCTATAATTTAGAGAGCAGACGCAAAATGAATTCACTTAAGTTCATTCACAAGCTCATCCACGGCATTATTGACTCCAGTGTCATCTTAGAACAACTTAACTTCTTAATTCCTAGATTAGCGTCACGAACTAGTTTAACTTTTTACTTAACCAGGCCTAGGACTGACATACTTAAGTTTTCCCCTATATATATATAATGTGCCGAAATTATAATTCAGTTAATAGCGTTTTAGATATATTTTAGCTTTGTGCGACTTTGGGAGACATTAATGCTTATTTTCGTTAATGCTTGCCGGTGTGATTGTTGAGTGCTGGGTAGGTAAAGCTAGAACGCTTTTTTTTTCCTCCCAGTTCTGTTTGGAGGTTTTTTTGCAGCGTTTTAGCTTTCTCTACATACATCCACAACATGCATTTGTTTATATTTTCATGTTTATCCATCCTGTAATTGGCTATGGCTGTTGGATGTTGCTAAATAAATAAATAAATAAATAAATAAATATAATTAATAGATCAACTGACTTACCTGTTAAGGAAGATTGATCGGAATTATATCTCAGCCTCATCCGAAGATTACAACCCTCCCCCCCACAACCCCAATGATCTGGCAAACAAAACAACCACTGAGTAATACAGAGTGGATGACATCGAGGACGGGAAGCGATGTTGTCACTTTTCTTTAAACGTTTGTACTGGACTGTGTGGAATAGTGCAGCTACAAGTGTCTAAGTTATGCTGTAATCTTCGGATGAGGCTGAGATATAATTCCGATCAATCTTCTTTAACAGGTAAGTCAGTTGATCTATTAATTATGTATAATTTGAAATAAGTTGATTTTCTACTTGAATGTTCTATTTTTGAATAAATCAATTCATAAAAGACATGTCTATATTATATTTTTTATAAATAAAATTAATGGACCGACGATCCATTAAATTCAACATAGGCGTGGACCGCTAAATGTTCGCAGAATGGTACTTAAATAAATTTGACCTCGTTACGAATTTGTTTTGTTTCCTGACAATAACCCACTCTTGCTAAATGTTGCCGTCAGGCCAAAGCGGGCCAACGAATATGATACAACTCATTCAACGACGGTCCCTTGGCCGCTGCCGCGTTTAGCGTTGCCAGGCGTCCGGATAAAGCCGGACATAGTTAGGCTTTTTGATTGCATGTCCGGCTAAAATAAACGGTGTCCGTCTTGTCCGGCTTTTGTTAGGCTTTTTACATTTGGCAAACAAGCGAGCACTGCCGCCGCGCTGGCGAGCGTGGCCGAGCGTAGGCGAGTCGACTACCGAACCGAAGTGCCGCCCGTCGCCCGTAGCTCAGAATTAGACATTCATTTTAAACAATACTTTATTATTCAAAGACGCGCTGGCTGATTCTTTTTCCAGCTATAGAAAGGATTTTACAAATGTTTGAACCTCTTAAGTCGTATTTCCTAAAAACGGAAAAGAATAATACAGCCAGAACTTTGAGAGAATTTTTCGAAAACGACCTTAACGAAGGCTATTTGTGGGCTGTTCATTCTTTCATGGCCATTTATCAAAATCGCATCAAAGATACAGAGATGGCTGATGTTTCTGTGAATGAGGTTTTGGAAAACTGTTCTGAGATAATCAATAGCATAAATGCAAGAATTGAACAAGACTTTTGCCCACTGAAAGTGACTTCCATTTTGCGTAAATTCAAAGAAAACAACGAAAATTCTGAACAGGTGACTGCGTTTAAAGAGGATATTAAAAACATGTACATTATTGCAGTACAATATTTACGATCTTGGACTGAAAACTTATACAAAGACACAAAACATTTCACATGGATGACTTTAAAAGATGTTCCTGAATGGAATCAAGTTTCCGATACTATAAGTATCCTATCGCAAAACAACGTTAAAATCGACGATAGCAAATGTTTTGACCAACTGCAAAATCTTAAAAGTTTTCTGAATACTAACAAAGAGAACGTTGATTTCAAGAAGCTATTAGCACATAGGGTAGCCTATTTTAAATCGATGATAAGTCAAGATTGCTTTTCAGAATTCCTAACTATTTGTCAGTATTACTTTGCTATCCCAGGATATAACGCAAACGTTGAAAGAGTTTTTTCCTTGATAGGTCAGCAATGGACGAAAGAACGCAACAGATTACATGTTGATACTGTTGCCAAATGTTGGTTGTAGAATTTAATTTAAAACATTTGACATGTAAGGATTTTTACAACTACATTTTGAAAGAAACTGAGCTCTTAAAGCAGGTTTCGACAAACCAAAAATATTAATAATTATTTTTATTGTGTAACTCAAAGAGAAAATGTTTTTTTTTTGTTTTATAGTTTAACTTAAAAAGAAGTTATTTATTTTTTTAGTTAAAAATGTGTTATTTGTTCATAAATGCTTAATTATCTAGAATTTAATTTTATTGTGTAACTCAAAGAGAAAAAGTTTTTGTTTGTTTTATATTTTAACTTAAAGAGAAGTTATTGATTTTTTTAGTTAAAAAAAAAACAATCATATCATTATTTACCAAAATATATTGAATTTCAGAAGGAATACCATTGCATTCATAATACAAAACCAAAACGAAATACTAAGCCTCATTAAAAGCATCTAAACTGTAATGCCAAAATGATTGTAACCATTAAAAACAAGGAAATGAAAAGGTAATAATAATTGAAAGTAACTAAAATATTGATTAATTATTATTTTTTGTTTTTCAGAAGCAATGATGTCTTTTTAAAGAAGTACCCCTGTGAAATTTTTTTAAGGAACACCCATAATCATTCAATATATATTTCATCAGCACTAAAGTTCCGTCCACCTAGTCAACAGTTGCAGGAAGAATTTAAATTATTATTCACTAAAGGACATTCACCAAGCACAGCATACAGTCTCTTTAAAGATGAATTATATGAAAATCGTAATCAAAGGTACAATGAAATTGTAGCTGATGGCAGTAAATGCCCAACACTGAAGTGGGTATATGATCTGTACTATCAAATATTCAAAAGAGAATATGGTGAGCCTACAGGTGTCGAAATGATTGTGTCAATGGAAAATGCAATAAAAGATTATAATAAAATGTGAAAGTGTATGTGCAGCCATTGAACACTCAACTAATGTAGTTGTAGCAATTTGTACCCCACTTATGAAAAGAATTCATAATTATATTCGTGCATCAAGCGAAATTATGTTCGTGGATTCCTCTGGGAACATGGATAGGCACAATAGTCGAATATTTTTATTCTTGTGTCCTTCAGCTGTAGGGGCATTACCATTAGGTATTGTAATGACATATTCAGAGTCAGAGCAATCAATAACAAATGCTGTTAAGCTCCTTCAGAGCATTTTACCAACAAATTCGTTTTATGGGCAAAACTTTCCAAAATTAATTGTTACTGATGATTGTGATGCTGAAAGAAACAGTTTAAAATCATGTTTTAAAGATGCGTCGTTAATATTGTGCAAATTTCACGTGCTACAATCCTTTATGCGATTTTTATGGAACAGCTCTAATGGAGTTGATAAATATGAAAGAGTGAGTATATTTCAGCTTTTTAGAAAATCTTTAAATTGTGTTTCTGAAGAGGAGTTCAAGAACATATATAGCATGCTTCTATCAAATAAATGTGTAGAAAAGAATAATAAGTTAAAAAATTATCTTTTTACCTTGCAAAATAGGGCAGAAATATGGGCTATGTGTTACAGATCAAATTTATTAACTCGGGGTAACAATACTAATAATTATTCTGAAGCATCCTTTCGAGTATTAAAAGATAAAATATTATTAAGAAAAAAGGCTTTTAGTATAGTACAACTATTTGATTATTTAACGACAAATTTTGAAGAGTTTTACATTAAAAAAATTATTGATATGATAAATGGAAGATGGGAAGCCTCGAAACGAAAAAACAAATATTATATTGATAAGGATAAAATTAATGGTTTAGTTTGTACACAAATAGAAGAAAACATTTATAATGTTCAATCTAAAGAAAATAATTATATTGTTAATACAGAAATTGAAAGTTGTACATGCTATATGGGCAATAGAGGTGGATCTTGTAAACACCAATTGGCTGTTGTAACGCAATTTGCCCTAAATTCGCAGCAATTCCATCCTACTTTAATTAATAGTGACTTCAAAGAACTTTTGCATAAGGTTGTTTATGGTGTTAACTGTGAAATAGAAGGATGGTACTTAAATTTGAATGACACCAAAGCTAATGAAGTTGTCAAAATTAATAACAATTCATCAGCTATTGAGGTACCCAGTTGTCGCTCTCCAGATTTGCACAATATCGACATTAATTTAAATGATATTTCACCGATATCAACTATTGAAAAAGATAAAATTCGTGGACAACTTGAACATTTTGTTGATTTACTTATGAACAGGTTTGAAAATAATTTTGATGAATTCAATCAACCTATTTTAAAATTTTTAAAGAATGTGGAATCCTGTAAAACAAATTCATCTCTTACAAGTGCATTGTGTACGTTTGGTAAATGTAACGGGACAGGACTTCCTAAAATTAAATCAGGAAAAAATATTCAGGGTGGAAATAGAATAGGCGTGCAGCCAACAGCAATAATGAGACGAAAATCGGGACTAGGGGGACGAAAGTGGTAGACCTCCAAAAAGGCTTCAACTGTCAGATCATGCCTATAGTAAAGAAAAAAATAAACACAATTTTGAAGTTTTCAATACTGACAATAAAACTGCTGCACCACATTGCTTAGAATACTGTATTACTCAAAATATATCTTTGGGTAAGACACATTCAAAAAAGTAATGTTTCTGTTCCTATGTATGTTTTATTTTCAGTTGATTATTATTAACATTCATGCTTGTGCCATACTTATAGTAGGTATATGACTTTTTTCTTTAAAGAATCCACAGGTTATTTTTAATAAAATTCAAATAAAATAAGAAAGGTAGCAACACAAAAACTTTGAACTCTTGTAAGATAGGCACCCTTTATTAATTAATTGTAATTTTAAATTTGCTAATAAACAAATTATACTATATATACTATAATTATAATAAATTCTATTTCTGTAATTTTGCTGTTTTTTTATTGCCACTGTTTCACTGTCTAATTGATATGGAACAGCTAGGCGTAGACTATCAATAATTAAAATTATTGATAACCCAGCAGTGATGGCTTAATATCAATTTGAAAAAAAAACATGCCTTATGTCATTCAGATGCTTTCACCATTAAGATGAAGAACATTCACAAAAGTTCTAGATATTATGTAAAAGAGGAGTATAAAAGCAATAGCATTTTCATCGAAAAAGCTTGAAAAGTTTTTTATTTAATAAAAATATACACAGAACATCATCTAGCGAGACTCTAGTCTAGACATAACATAACTATGAGATCTTAAATTATTTACATGAAATCTAGAGGTGGAGATACAAAGAATAAATAAAAAGACAGATACATGGACACAGATTAGTCTTTTTTCATTATATCCACACCAACCTTAAATATAATCTTCTGAGTGTTCTTGGGACATATTCTTTTAATTCGAAACGTAACTTTGCTCGTCTCTTGAAGCCTCTGTGTTTTTGAAAGTATTCACATAAAGCACAATTACAAAGCCATCAACCAAATTATTTCTTTGTGTATCCGTGATTGACCATATACCCTTCCTCTAAAGGTAGAATAGCATGGAACTAAAATAAAGTAAATAACATTGTTTATTTACAAAATAACAACTGATAACAATATTTTGAAAAAAAATATAAGAACTAGAGTATTTTACTTACAGTTTCTCCATAATTCTTCATTTGTAACTATTTTCAAGATTCATGTGGACTGTTTATTTCAATAAATAACAAAAAATGTTTTAATCTTTTACTCATTACATCAAAACAAATTAAAGATGAACAAGACATTAACAAATATTGACATTTCCACAATGACGACACTCAACCAATCAGACAGGTCTTATTCACAAGTGTAGCAGGTTTAGAAATCACGCGCCCTGGCTATAAGTGGCAACAACGGTGTCATCTCTGAAACAGAGGTTACATCACTCAAACCAAATAGTTCAAGTGGGATGACGTTTTAGGCAACACGTATAGCTTATATGAGTGCACAAGTGTGCGACAGCTAGTTCCAAGTTGACTTCTTGTAGGTAAACATGTGGGTCATAAAAAACAGACAATATGTTACTTTTCAAGATTATGTCGATTTTTTTTGACATTACAATGTTTTTTTTGTGACATTATGTAGGTTTTTCTACAAGATGTTAACTTAGGCCCGTATCGTCAGTCATTCCTACAATTGTAAGACGCCTTTATGACCTCCTTGATTGTCTTAGTTTTCTACTTTTCCGGGTCAGCGCTCTATTTTGAGGTTATGTCACAAATATTTGCATCAAATTGTACATGCTTTTGAGGTCATGTTTTATCAGCCTAAAATTTCATACAATTTAAAAGGAAAACACATCTTCACAACAGGAGAGCGCTGACGCTGACACAGAACAGGTGCAATCTAGAAATTTTTGAAGGAGAGAAAGGAGTATGACAATCAAGGAGGCCATAAAGGCTCCTATAATTGTAGGAACGAGTGACGATACGGGCCTTAGCACTAGCTGATGGACACTTGTTGTGATCTCGTTTTGCAGTTGTACGTGTTGCTTAAACGTCATGATGCTTCACTTATCATTGTTTGGCTCTGATGTGATGTAAAGGCGCAATTCCACTGAGGCAAATTTGGTACGTAGTATACGGCATTGACGCATGCGGCATGCTGTCTTTCCATAGAGGCAACACAAAACGACAAGAAATACGTCTCCTTGTCGAATGCTACAAGTTGCCCGTTGTTACCTCTCGAGAGCGCCCTCAGCGACATGAATCCACGTGTTGATCAATGTCGCCGGCTATCCAAACCCGTTCGGATCGGTGCGGCTTGGAGCAGGCGAAAAAAATGGAGTGGACCAATGAGAAAACATTATATTTAATTGAAGATTACCATAACTCGAGTGAATTATGGAACAACAAATCGGAAAGATATAAACATGCGCGACTAAAGCAGGATAAATTACGGAAATATAATTATGGCAGACCTTGTACGATGATGAGGCACAAATATTTGGCTTACTTATTTATGGTTGGTTTCTAATAGGAAAATACAACGGTTCGGTATTGGAAATAAAAAAAAAGAATTTGCGTTCGGCGTTCCATCGAGAACGAAAAAAATTATGTGAAAAATGTCTTCTCCAATATACTGGCGTTTTTCTTTTCCTTTTCCGATCCAAATAAATTACTAAATAAGCAGCCTCCGCGACTGTTCGTAATGACATGACGTACTAAACTGAAGTTGTCTGAATTGACTCGTGAAGACGCATGCTACACATGGGTAGCGGCGGGTAATATGAAATACACCGGCTAATATGAATACCATATAATTGGCTAAACTTATGCTGCCATCTACAAGGCGGTAGCAAAAATATGCTCGTCGTAAGTGCAGATTTATACCCAAACACGCGCATAACTCTGTGATCGTTCGTTAAATAGGTCGTCCCCTTAGAGCAGAACTATTCTATGTCCAAAAATGTCCATTTTCGTTTTTTGATTCCTATGTACATTATAAGAGCTGCGCTTTCTGCTGCAAAAGTATTCTATGTCCACGCGTACGACTAGCCCCGGAAATTGCCGAATGAAAAATGAACCTATCTTTCCAAATAAAGTTCAGCTGAGAGCAGAACTATGTCAACTGCGGCGGTGTGAACGTCGATTAATTGTCGCGGGTAAGACAGAGGACATATAAGGTAAAGTCGCCTAATATGAGACCGTTCCTAATATGAGACCCTAGATGATCGTCTCTGTAGAGTCCTGTAACCCCACATTCATATGATTTACAGGTTACTAGTGGTATAGTACGGGCCCTCTCCTCTAGATGGCGCAATATTTCATTTAACAGCTGTTTAATGCGAGATTTGTTAAAATTTGTACTGTGAAGTTTTTTACCGTTTTCCCTTTATATATTTACTTTATCATCATGGTAAGTATATTTTGGTTTGTAATATGATTTGTATGTAGTACAACAAATGTAGTCTTATTCCCACCTTTTCTTTATCCATTCGAAATACAACAAACTAACCTATAATTTTTTTTCTAAATGTGTTGTTGGTTCCAAATATGAGACCCTCTGGGGTTCCCATTATGAGGAGGGTCTCATATTAGGACCCCGATATTTATATAGAATTTTTTCAGGGGAGTTCTTCTAAACGTCGCAAACAATGGAACAAGGGGCAAATGGTGTTGGCGATTAAAGCAGTTCGAACTCATGTCATGGGTTACAAGACAGCGGCGAAACATTTTCAAGTACCGAAAGGTACCCTTGAACGTTATGTTAAAAACATTATTTTTCTCCTGAAGAACTCGTTCGTACAACACTTGGTAGAAAACCTGCTTTAGGAAAAGCTATCGAGGATGAGCTAGTTCGATACTGTCTCGATATGGATAATAGGTTTTTTGGTCTGCGAAGATCTGATGTAAAACGCATGGCCTTCGAGTTGGCAATTGCTAATAATATCCAGCACCCATTTTCACAGGAAAAAGGCGTTGCAGGAAAAAAATGGCTTAGAGGATTTTTCAAACGTAATCCCCAGCTGTCTGTTAGGTCACCTCAAGGCATGTCCAGTGCCAGAATACGGGGATTCAATCAAGAAAGCGTTGCTTCATTCTTCGATTTGTACGAAAAGGAATTATCGAAAATCAATTGTGCACCACAAAGGTTGTTTAACGTGGATGAGACAGGGATTAGTGTGGTGCAACATAAAAGAAGTAAGGTCATTTCTGCTAAAGGTAAAAAGCAAGTAGCAACACTTACATCAGCTGAAAGGGGAGGCCTTATTACAGTGGTGACATGCATGAATGCCGTAGGAACTTACGTACCGCCTTTAATTGTGTGGCCTAGAAAAAATATGAAAATTGAATTGATGGACGGTGCGCCAACCGGTTCCATTTACGCATGTCACCCTTCTGGATGGATTCAAGCCGAAATATTTACACAATGGTTTGACCATTTTATTAAATTCACAAAGCCAACACCATCAGATCCTGTGTTATTGGTGCTCGATGGACACTACTCCCATACGCGTAACATAGACGTAATAAATAAAGCTAGAGAAAACCACGTATCAATTGTTTGCCTACCTCCCCACGGCACACATCGCATGCAACCGTTGGATGTAGGATTCATGGGGCCTCTGAAAACGTACTATGCTCAGGAAATTGAGACTTGGCTGCGAAACAACCCTGATCGTATTGTCACGCCATTTATCATTGCAAGACTATTTTCAGTTGCATATAACAGAGCAGCCACTATGGAGGTTTCGGTGAACTCGTTTAGAACAACGGGACTATTTCCGCTTAATAGAAATATTTTCCGAGATCATGATTTCTCAGTGTTCGAAGTTGAGGAGAAATTAACAGTCCCTGAAGATACTGTAAGTCGTCCTCCACCGGGATCTTCCACAGAATCTAGAAATATTGAATATACTTCAGGAAAATCAGAAGGTATCAGTTGCATTAAAACAGCTTTAGATAATCCCCGTCCAGGAACTTCCAAAGATTCTAGCGATATTGAGGATGCCGCAGATGATCCACGGCCGGGAAATTCAAAAGAGTCCAATGATCAGGGGGCTGTAAATAGTTCTCGTAAAGCCGTCAAATACCTTTCAGAACCTACAAAGCTTGTCAGTCCAGTGCAGATAAAACATCTTCCCAAAATAAAGAGCAAGAAGCCCAGTGCTCGTGCAGGCAGTGCAGCATTGATTACCTCATCTCCTTACAAAGATGATTTAACAGAAAGTTTGGATAAGAAACGTAAAAAGGAAGATTCCGCAAAACATAGCAAAGTTACATCAGTTACAAAGAAGGTTAAGTTTGACGATGCAAGGGAAGCAAAGTTTCGCAAACCAAAAAGTACTAAACGGTTTAAAAAGAAGAGGGCCGATTTAAGTGACAGCTCAACTGATGAAAGCGATGACTTGGGAGAAGTTGTTGTTGATGATGAGAGTGATGGTGACGAAAATTATGACGCAGAATGCCTCTTCTGCACAAGCATGTATTCTGCAGACAAGCATGGTGAACAGTGGGTTAGGTGTACAGTGTGCTACAGATGGGCCCATGAAGATTGTGGTGCAGAAGATCCTATCTTTGTGTGCCCAATGTGTGAAAAAAGACAGAAAAAGTAACTATATAATGTATTTTTATGGTCTATTTACTCTAAATAATGTTATTTGGAAAGAAATTTATAGGGTCTCATATTAGGAACCCAATTAGTTACTTTTAATTTATGGTATTGTAGCTTTATTTGAAAAAATAAATAAAAAAGTACATCTTCGTTCCGTGTTTTTTAAAGCATAAACCTTACCAATAAAACAAATCAGTAATAACTTAAAATTTGTTATTTTTACAGAAATTATAGATGTTTTCCAAAATGGGTCTCATATTAGGCGACTTTACCCTACTAGTTCTGACGTGTTACCGTTCACTTAGAATTGTACTTTTGTGGACATAGAATAGTTCTGATTTAATATTTGTGTGACATAGGATATTATTTTTTATTTACATAGACTAGTTCTGACTTGTGATCGAATACTTAGAATACTGTTTTGTGGACATAGACTTGTTTACGTTTAAATAAAAATACGTGAAATAATATTTGAAGAGTCAAGAGAAAAATGATACCATCACGAGGACAAAAAATTCTTAATTTAATTAAAAAAGACAAATCTGCAGGTAAGTTATTTCGAATTTTGATATCATTTCAAAGCAACGAATACAAAATAATTATAGCTGAAAGCTCTTTAATACAGTAATTTTTAATTTTATATATTTTAAGTTCGCAAGTATCATTATTTTCCATTAAATGTTTTTTTTATTCATTGAATATATTTTAGATGCCCACAAAAGTCCTGCAAAAAGGGTACCTCCACAAATGCTAAATGTTAAAAAATTGGAAAAACCGACTATAAAAGATGGGTCTTATTTGATGGATTGTTCCTCCAATCAGCAGCCTCCTACCTATTTACTAGCAAATGAAACATCTACAATACGAGATGATTCCATTTGGACTTTAATATTACTTGACAATACACAGTTTTGTCAATCATTTGCCTCCCAATGTAAGTACAACATAAGCAAACATTCGGCCCTTTTCATTTTTGAATTCTCAAACAACAAATGAAATTTTGTTTTTTGCTTCAGGTGAAAAAAGCCCGACGTGTGATAATAGGTGTATATTGGCTTCCATTCCTGCCTTAAATAAAAATGTTTGGTGGTATGACGCACACGTTGTCGGTTGAGGTGTTAGACATCCAAAAAGAAAATACCCTACCCAGCGCATCATATACCTTAAGTGTTGCCGAATCTCAACCGGTAAGCAAATAGTGAAGTATAGATAGGATTTTTGTTGTTTTGTATTATATCGTGACTTGCTTTTTCCGTTGGAACAATACCTGCCCGAAATCACCAGCTTTTAAATTCAGCATTTGAAAATATGGCTAAAAATGCTAGTTAAGTAGCAAATATCTAAAATACATATTGTGCAGTTTGAATTTTAGGATATTTTGGAAGAGACGGCAGCAAAGCAAAATGGACGTCCTATTCCCAGTACATTAAATACAAGAAACTTGACTGATTCTACTGTAGTGGGTATACCTAAAATTACAAATACTCTGGATGAAGATTTGAGTATATCTTCTTCGGAAAGCGATCCTTTTGGGGGAGATAATTCAGATGAAGACCCTGATTTTGAAATTAAAAAAAAAGCTAAAGTTGCAAGATTCCATTTCTGATCATTCAACGTCATCGTCGGATCCACAAGAAAAAAGAAGAGTGCGTAAGCGTCTTCGGAATTCGGATAATTGGCAAAGAAATAAAATCAAGAGATTGAGAAATAGTGGAAAAGCTTATACGGATTGGAAAGGTAAAAAAAGACCAGAGAGGAGAATTAAAGAGGCGTGTAATAACTGTAGATTAAAATGTTTTCAAAGAATGAACGAAGAACAAAGAAATATAATTTTTCAAAGTTTTTGGGATTTGAAAGATATGTCGTCAAAGAGATTATATATCAAAATATGTGCAATGTAATACAAAGGCGAGGTGTCGACAAAGTTGAACTAAAAATAACGAGGAGCAAGATGAAATTGAGAATAATAGTAGAAGTTTTACTTTCGTTTACCATTTACAAACTGAAACATCAAAGATCCAAGTCTGCAAAACATTTTTTTTGAATACTCTATGAATTAGTGCCCAAACAGTTCGAACAGTTTTTAACAAAATGAATTCTGCTGGATATATCAAGGAAGATCAAAGAGGTAAAGCCTGTAAAAATTCCATGTTGGACGAGTCGGTGAAACAATCAGTTCGTAACCACATCATGTTGTTTGAAACCATTGATAGTCATTACTGCAGACAGAAAACGGAGCGAAAACACTTACCTCCAACAGTAAATGTTTGTAAAATGTATGCTCTGTATGAAGAATTCTGTCTAGATAATAACATTGAAAGGAGAGCTACAGAAAGTATGTATAGACACATTTTCACAACCGAATTCAACATTTCTTTCTTTCTGCCAAAGAAAGAACTCTACGCTACGAAAACAGTTTGACTGACGAAAAAGTTAGAATGGTGCAAGCATATCAACAGCATATAGAAAACAAGAACTTAGCTCGAAGTCTCAAGAATGCAGATAAAGAGAAAGCTAAAGCAAACCCTTCATTTTGTGCAGCAGTATTCGACTTGCAGCAAGTATTGCCAGTACCCAAGACAGACGTCGGCGTCGCCTATTATAAATTAAAATTATCGACATTCAATTTCACAGTTTTCAATTTGGCATCAAAGGAGGCATTTTGCTACATGTGGCATGAATGCGTAGGAAACAGAGGGTCGTTGGAAAGTGGTAGTGGTCTTACGCTTTTTATTGAACATCATGTGCGAAAGGAATCAAAGAATTTTCATTTTCTTCCGATAACTGCCCAGGGCAGAACAAGAACAAATTTTTGTTTTCTCTTTATAATTATCTGGCACAAAAATATTCAATCAAAATTTGCCACACCTCTTAGAGCTGGGCCACACACAAAATGAAGGTGAATCTGTTCACAGCGTCATTGAGAATGTCGCAGTATACACTCCAGATCAATGGTTCAGTCTTGTCAGGACATCAAAAAGAAAAAATCCATATGTTGTAGTTGAAATGAGCCAGCAAAGCATATTTGACCTTAAGAAGTTAACCGAAGTAACTTCTATAAATTGGGATAAGAATGACACAAACGACAAAAGTTTACTGGAGTGAAATAAAAATTGTAAAAACCGATCCAGAAGAGCCAAATATATTTTTTTATAAAAACAGTTATAAAGATGAAAAAGAATTTAAAAAAATTTGCATTTTAAAAAGAGGAAGAAAATCCATTGAAGTAAATATTAATGAAATTCATTTACAGCCGCTTTACAAGGAACTAATACCGTTAACTAAAAAAAAAATATGATCATTTGAAGTTCCTTTGCGGCAAAAACGCTATTTTACCTGCGTATCATCCCTTTTTTTAAACTTACCTTTTGGTGAAAACATCCAAGAGCCAGATGGATATAATGATGACAATTTCTAATAGTTAAACTGAATAAGGTACTTCAAGAATAATATCTTTTTTAGCTTGGTCTCTACTGTTTTAGAGTCCAAATCCATAGTGTTACATTTTTTGGGTTTTGTATAAGTAGCACTGATTATTATTAGTATATTGGCGCCAATGATATTTAAAAGTTCACTTGAGCATACTTTTAATGTTTTTTTTTATTTCTTACATAATTACCTTAATATTACCATATGTGCTTTCTGCAAACTTATAGTTGTAATAGAAAATAAAAAATAAATTATAAAAACCTTTGTTTTATTTCATCCAAGAAGAACCATTCTATGTCCCAATAAAAAATGTATATAGTATTCTATCCTTGGCACTTAGAATAAGATAAAGTCATCAAGGTATTCTATGTCCACTTTTTTTAAAATAACGCAATTTTTGCCAAATAGGATTATAGTAATGTGAAAGTAACAAAAAAATTAATTATTTATTCTTACTTTGGCAAATCAATAATTATTAGATTTATAAAAAAATAAAAAAATGTCTCTCGTGTAAAATTTCTATTTTGTGACATGTAATAGTTCTGCTCTAAGTGGACGAGGTATTCGTCAACACCTGTTTTTCAGTCATTCAGAATTTTTGTTGGGTTCCGTGAAAATTTAGTTTATTATCATTTAGTTGGTGATTTTTTATTCATATTGTCATCAGAAAGCAGGTAAGGACTGTGAAGAGGTTCGGCAACAGCGCGACCGTGTGTGAGTGCGTGTCGAGTGCAAAGTGCGATGGAGGCAGTGTAGCCAACCCTACAGTTTTAACTGTAGATCTACAGTTTTTTGGAAATTCTCAGTTTTTAGTTTAGGCCTCGAAATCTACAGTTTTTTATTTAGGCTGCTAGCGTCATCTATTTTATTTGCTACGTATTCCGTACACTAAGTCAGCTTCAGTAAAACTTACTACTATCGAACCGGAGGTAATGGGCAACCAATTTAATAGATGGCGCTGGTGGTGGACAGTTGTATATCGTTTCGGTCAATGTCTATTTTACCGACATTCTATTGTTTACTTATTCGGGAATCCCTCAATTCCGTCATTCGTCTGATTAGATTCTTTTTTGTTCGGCTGACGTTGTGAGTTTAGCAAAAAGTTAGGAATATGCATAGCTGCAGTAGTGATAGTGAGTCAGATGTTGGTAAATCCCCACCAAGAAAGAAGAAAGTAGTGAGATACGAGCAAAAATTTATTGACTCTTGGCTCAGCGACGAAAAGTTTAGTGGATGGCTCGCAAAAAGTAAAAAAGGTAACACTTATTTTTACTGCTCTGCATGCGACTGTGATCGTAAATGCGGAATTCAAGAATTGACGAGACACAAAAATTCGTCAAAGCACCAAGCAAACTGTAAAAAAATACAAAAGCAACCTAAGCTTACATCTTTGTTCGCATCGACATCAAAATCACAGGAACCGCAGCAAATGGCAAAAGTCGGCGAAATTAAACTAGCATGTTTTATTGCAGAACACAACCTTGCATTTAATGTTGCCTCACATCTGACTAATTTAATAAAATCGGTGTGTCCAGATTCAAAAACTGCTGAATATTTGTCTATGAGCCGAATAAAAGCAAGAGCTATTGTAGTAAATGTGACAGGAAAAACCGCTGAAGAAAACTTGATAAAAAATTTAAGGGAAAACGAGTTTGCATTGCTGGTAGATGAGAGCACTGATAAGTCGGCAATCAAGCATTTAGCTTTAATAGCGAGGCTAGTCAACACAAATTATGAAGTGGAAGATAAATTTCTAACTGTGATACCGATCACCGACGGGTCAGCTAAAGTTTTGTACCAAAAAACTGTCGAATATTTTAATGAGAAAGAAATTCCATACAAAAAGAATTTGTTAGGATTTGCTTCTGATGGCGCCAATGTCATGTTCGGGGGGAATAACTCAATGATCACTCATTTGAAGAATGACATACCTAAGCTTTCACCATGAAATGTATATGCCATTCATTTGCGCTTTGCGCATCTCACGCATGTGAAAAATTACCGAGGGGTCTTGAAGATTTTTGCCGCGAAGTTTTCAACCACATCCAAAATTCACCTAAACGCATCGGTGATTTTAAAACTTTTCAGGCGTTTACAAATATAAAACCACATAAAATATTACACCCTGCACAAACCAGATGGCTATCGTTGAACGATGTGGTGAATAGATTGTTGGAACAACTTCCAGCTATAAAATTATATTTCCAATCAGCTGTGCTTACAGATCGTCTTCTTTCTGCCCAAAGTATTTTAACAAAAGCCATGGAACCGACAACAGAATTATACTTGGAATTCCTACGATTTGCTTTACCAATATTCACAGATTTGAATAAAGAAATGCAGGCAGAAAAACCAAAGCTGTACTTATTATATGATCAGATCTACACAGCATATGTGGCAATTTTAGAATGCTTTATACAACCGGTTTATTTAGAACTAACAGAAGAAGAGATAAACAAAGCCGAAGATATCTTAAATGCCAAAGAACAAAAAATATTAAGTGTTGATGTAAATGACGTGCGGATCCATTTTCCGTTATTGGAAACATACGTTGGAGGAATGGTACCAAATTTGATTCGATTGAAAAGAGACAATCAAGAGTTGGACGACGATAAACTGTCAAATTTTTACAGGAAATGTAAAGAGTTTTACATTGAGGCAGTAGCCCAAATCAAACAAAGGTTTCCTTTCGCTGATAAAGAACGTCAGGCACTAAAGTGTTTACAGATGTTGAACCCACAAGCGATTTTAGGTCATGACTTGAGCAAAAAACATATAACTTCAATTTCTGAATTATTATATTATTTCCCAAGTATTTGTCCAGAAAATATAACGGAATTAGATAGAGAATGGAGAACTCTTCGCAGGACCAATTTTAATTTTGACGAGACTGAGACGCCCAGTGTAGATAAATTTTGGTGGCATATTTCCAAATTGAAAAAAGGCGACGGCTCTGCAATGTTTCCACTATTATCGACTTTAACAAGAAAGCTTCTATGTTTGCCGCACAGTACTGCTACGGTAGAACGCTTGTTTTCGAGCATTAATGTTATGAAAACGAAACTAAGAAATAAACTTTCTACAACCACAATAAAAGGTACCTTGCACACAAAGTCCGAAATTAAAAATTGTTTCGAGTTCAATGTGACAAATGACCATTTGAAAAAGTTCAATAAAAATATGTACGATTTCAACCAAAATAAAGATGAAACGGAAAATCAAGAAGATTCACACATTGAAAATGAGATAGCAGCTAGCTAGTGATATCATCTACTACTGATAGCTATGATTTTCAAGAGAAGGTTCCTGTTCTCTGTTCTCATGTTCTGTTCCTGTTAGATTAGCATTTTCATACTAATTTTTGACATTTCATTTGATTAAAACTTTGATAAATACATGCTTTTTATTATTTTTAATTCCCTCCCTATAATGTATTCTATTTATTACTATCATTAAATAATACAAAATAATAAAAAGATAAAGATGTAGATTTACAGTTTTTTAAATTGGTATTTACAGTTTTCTGCAGTTTTTTTCAAGCATATCTACAGTTTTGCTCTATGCTGGGGTTGGCAACACTGGATGGAGGGCAGGTAGTAAGACCCTGAGGACAGGTTGCGAGGGGAGAGTGGGAGACGGGCATGAGCATCGGCAGAAGGATATCGTCGCCCAGCCCGACGGACGTACGAACATTGTTACTGCTATTCTATTTTTATTTCGAATTGTATAGTGTGAGTTGTAAATCGGCCTCTATTTTAGTAAATAAAGTGATATCGTCGTAACACCGTCTTCGTCCCATTAACCTGAGAGACTAGCTCGGGAACTATTTCATTTTGGCGCCCAACTCGTGGCCGGTGTTCTACGTTATTCATTATTCAGTGGAGGCGAGTGGAGAGCTTCTTCGAGGCGGCGTGCAGCACCAAGTCTGGCAGAGCTGCAACTACGAAGGAAACAGGATACTCTAGTGAGATCTGTCCTTATTATTATTGAGCAGTCCATGTGGAACTAAGATTTGGTAATAAATCAACTACGTTGCTGAGTAGCTGATCTAGCGTCGAAATCAAGTCGGCGACTAGCCATCGAGAACTTTTGCATATTTTGAAGAAAATCATAGTCTGTAGTTGTGTGAAACATTTTCGCCGAAATTTCGCGGGACAATATAAATATATATATATATATATATATATATATATATATATATATATATTTTCTCGTATACTTTTATGTTTTCTTGTTGTTACCTTGTTTAACAACATATTTTTCGGTGTACTGAGTCTGTATGGTTAATGTATAATCGCCAATGTAATGTACATGAATATTGATTAGCCCGTGCTAGCCGTGTTTGAGACAATCCTCGATTTTACTAGCACATAAGCCCACTTGCTATGTTTTTCGTGGCAATACATCCGAAGCATCCTCCCGACCTCTCGATTATACCGTTCTGTCATATTTCCTTCGGGAAAATATACCGATATCTGGACTGTAATACCCTCTTTATTTAAAGTTTCAGCCCATTTCTTGGACGTAAATTGGGTTCCGTTATCGGACAACAAACACATGGGTTTTTGGACATTAGGCACATAATCACCCAAAACTTTATTCAAAATACTATTCGCAGTCGCTTTCTTGAGCGGATACAGTCTAACATATTTTGAAAATGCATCTACAATAACTAAGAGTTGCGTCACACCCCCTCTCGACGTAGGCAATGGTCCTATCAAGTCAAGGCAAACCAATTCCCCTGGCGCCTTCGAAATTACCGAATGTAAAAGTCCTCGACTTACTTTTGACGGCTTTTCTCTCTGGCACGAATCACACGCTCCAACAAATTGACGAATATGCTTCTGCATCCTTGGTCAGTAGAAATATTGCTTTATCCGAGCCGATATTTTGTTTTTACCGAAATGGCCCGACTGCTCATGCTCGGCCTTTACTAACCCTAAAATCTGATTTTGCGGTACACATAGCTTGTACCCCGGTTCTAATGAATCCCCCTTTTGAAACAACAACCCATCGTGAACCGGATAATATAGGTACCGAGAAAGGTAAAGTTTCCAGAAATGACAATTTGTTGGCAGTCCACCTATCCCTGAGCTGTTCTTCTCGCCAATTCCGGAAATTCGACTTAAGTTGACCAAACGCGTCCGTCACCTTAACCCGCATGACGATTATATCAGCAGACCGCTCCGGAGCAGGCCTGATACCTATATAAGGGGGAAACCGACTCAAAGTGTCAGCAATCCTGTTTCGTACACCCGGGCAGTGCTCAATTTGGAAAGAAAATTCCTGAATGTAGAGTATCCAACGAGACAATCGCGCGGAGCGCAGCTTGCATGTCAGAAAAAATGTAGGAGCTTTATGATCTGTTAAAACGGTTATGTCCCTTCCCAACAAAATACTACGCCACTGTTCCAGGCAATTTAATAGGGCCACCATCTCTTTCTCAGTAGTCGTATATCGCAACTGACTACCCTTTAGTGTTTTACTCGTGTAGGCTATCACTTGACGTTCCCCCGTATCGGCTTTTTGAAAAAGGCAACCCCCCGTAGCATAGTCCGAACTATCGCATTGGACAAAGAATGTCTTTTTAAAATCCGGATGGATCATGAGCGTCGCTTTGAGATAAGTCTGCTTCACGTCCTCAAACGCCGCCTTTTGCTCTTGACCCCAAAACCAAACTTCTTGTTTTCTTACCAATTTTACCAATGGGAGCGTTAAATCCGAATTTGAATCACAAAAACGCTTTTCGTAATTGATAAGTGTGAGGCCTGACTGCCCGCTCTAGACGAGCGTGCAGCGGCGCGGGGCGTGGAGCGTGCATGTCTATCTCTGCTTATTCTATCTAGATGTCCTTAGTGGCAGCCGCCAGAGCGTTGTAGAGAGCGCGCATGTTTGCGTTTGGTGGAGCGTCGAGCGGTGTACAGCGTTCATTTCAATTCTGTTTGTGTTTTTAGAGCGTTTCAGTAGCACGTGCATTATGCCGTTCGAAGAAATAATTTGTGCAATCCAAGAAAAACCAGAAATATGGATGTCAAAGCATGCTCTCTATAAAAATAGACTAGTGAAAGCAAAAATCTGGACTGAATTAGCAGAAAAACTAGGCATAGAAGGTAATATTTTATTACATTTTCATTACATTACATACTGAAAATAACTGAACATATTTTGTAAACATTATATTTTCCTATCCCAAAAGTAGTTAGCGAATTGGTTCCGTATATTTCTCGCGGCCTGAGAAGAACTGTTGTTTCTTCTATTGAGATCAGCATAATGTGCCCCAGGAGTCAGATTTGTGTCATAGTTTTGAGAATTACAATCATTTCCTTCGAGATCACGTATGACATTGTGTAGAAGGCAAGCGGTTTTTATTATTAAACATGCGTGTTCTACATTTGTTTCGATCGGCTTACTGAAAATACGCCATTTTGCGTATAAAATACCAAAAGCACATTCAATACATTTTCGTGCACGTGAGAGACGTTTATTGAAATACTCATTTTTATCATTCAGGTTTCTTGATGGAAACGGCCGCATTAAATGTATTTTCAAAGGGTAGGCTTCATCTCCCAGAAAAACATAAGGAGATTCTAATGTGGTCCCTGGTAAATTATCGGGTGGAGGAATATGTAGTCCTCCATTTTCCATCAAACTGTTCAACGTTGAATAATGAAAAGTCCCTCCATCACTTTGTTTGCCTTTTCCTCCTACTTCTATGGAGATAAATCGTTTATTTGCATCCGCCACACCTTGTAGTATTATGGAAAAATATTGCTTGTAATTGTAAAACGAAGAGCCAGACTTAGCGGGACACTTCATTCTGCAGTGTTTGCCGTCAATAGATCCTAAACACATAGGGAACTGCCATAGTCTGTAATAGTCATTTGCTATATTTTTGAAGTCCTCTTGCGTTGGCCGTGCCATACGTACTTCAACCAATTGCTGCCATATAGCTGAACAAGTTGCATAAACAATGTCGGCTACTGTTGTTTTCCCCATTCGAAAACTAAAAGCCAGTGCTCGAAAAGATGTTCCAGTAGCAAGACATCTGTAAAAAAATGATACTGAAAAAAATTGGTAAACCTAAATATCGCTTAGATTGACAAAACTGAAACCCTACTCATTTATGTTATCGATTTGTACATGGAAATATTTTTTTCTTGCAGAAGTTACATTGAAAAAGCGTTGGAAACATTTAAAAGACCAATACCGGAAGGAACTCAAGAAACAACCACATTTCAGATCTGGAGCAGAGGCGGACGTTTGGGTGTCTTCATGGCAATATTTTAATTTAATGATGTTCATTAAAGATGAAGTAATGCCTGCACCATCAACTGGAAATGTATCTGTTAATGAAACAGATGATAGCCAAGAAGCAGAAAATATAGAAAATGATGAGGACAGTTCAGAGATGCCAAATGATTCGGATAATTTGGATTCTGAAATGATGCAGCCGATGATGTCTCCACCTTCTCAACCTGCAGCCACATCGTCTGCAAGTTCGTCTCAACAGTCGTCATCGTCGTCAAGAAAACGTTTGAATCTGAAGGAGAGTATGCTAGACATCGAAAAAAAGAAACTTCTATTGATGGAAAAACGGTTAATGGAGACCGATAATGATCAGAAGTTAAATAATGATGAAGACTTCTTATTCTTGAGAAGCATTCTTCCCGCAATGAAGAAACTAACGGAACTGCAAAAATTTCAGTTCCGTGGCAAAGTTAATGAATGGCTGTATGAAGCTACGAAAGAAAACCAAGCAGTTACTTCTCAACAAAATGTTAATTATCAGTGTTACTACACTACACCACCAGATGAAGAAACTCAGAGTTTAACTTTTTTGTAGTTCGAATTAAATAAAATAAATACGGTTACCTATATTGAAGTAGTTTCATTTCTACTCACCTTAAGGTCACGATTAATTTTTCTGCAGACGTTATTGAATCTGATATATGAAAGTTAGTGGCTGTTAACTTTAAACGAGCATCTATTTTTTCCAATATGTAGTCGAAAGTTGGCACTGACATTCTTGTATACTCGTAGAATTTGTTTTCGTCTGATCGTAGGGTTTCGTACAATGTAGAAAATTCACCTAATCTTTTTCTTTGTCTAACAATATGACTTGGACCCTCCTTGCATAACAAGTCAAATTTTAAAACTGAATTTTCTTCTAAACACATATCAAAAATGTCATATGAAGCCATGATGATCAAAATACGTATATCACAACTGAACGCTCGCTGTTCACTGAGGCCAGTCAAAGAACGCTCCTAAATTCGCTGCACGCCACGCTGCACGCTCCGCAGAACGCAGTTCTTACTCAGGCCTCACACTAAGTCCTAAAAACGCTCGGAGCTCCCTGATGTTTCGCGGTTTAGGAAACTTGGAAATCGCTTCGATACGATTAGGGTCTATACTGACACTCGCTAGAGATGACGTGACCTAAAAAGATTACGTCTTTCCGTATAAACTGGCTTTTCCTTAGCTTTAAGGTAATACCCTCTGCTAACAAGTTTTCGAACAAAATCTTCAAATGCTCTAGGTGTTCCTCGATTCCATCCGAGAACACCAGCAGATCATCAACATATATCACTGTGAAAGAGCAACAGGTTGGTCCCAGAACCTGACTCAAACATCGTATAAGGGAATCCATTGATGTGGACAACCCAAAAGGAAGCCTTTGGAACACGTAGGTCTCGCCTCCGTGAATAAAACCGACATACTTTCTGTCCTTCTCATGTATTCTTATCTGCCAATAGGAGGCCGTGAGGTCGATTGTGCTAAGTACAACGCCCTTCCTAAAATTCAGAAGTAACTCTGCGGGATTTGGTGGAGGGATGAAGTCCTTTCTTATCCTAGAATTGAGAAGTCTGGCATCTATGCAAATTCTCGGTGACCCATCTCGCTTCTTAACTACCACTAATGGGGATATGTAGCTCGTTTTTTGTTTTTTGATCACCCCCCATCTCTCCATCTCTCTTACTTGTCTATCAACTTCATTACGATGAATGAACGGTATCGGGTACGTAGGTGCATTAAATGGAGAATCGTCTTCCATTTCCACTTTATGAACATAAGATTCGATGCATCCTGGATGCTCAGGAAACACTTTCCCATATTTAAAAATTAGGTTTTCTAGCTTCTTCTGCGAAGTTTCATCCGCTTCAGCCTTGCCGGCTGCCACTTTAATTTCTGCTTCAGAGTATCTATGAAACGTTAACTTCTCATTTTTATCTACTTCCACGACATTGTCTAACCTACCACATAGGTGTACATTTAAGTCACCCCCCGTACTCAGCTATTTTTAAAAAGGAATGGTGCAAACCTCTTGGTTGCAAGAAAAAGTAATTTTTAAATTTCCAAAATCGACACTTGCCTTGGCAGACGACAACCAATCGCAGCCAAAAAGAATGTCACAGTTAAGTCCCGGAATTACCAAACACTTGACATCTAAATCAATATTACAGTCCGCCAACAGCCGAATCGATAACAGAATCTGTAATTTGATGAGCTGTTTCTTGGCACCAAAAGCTGGAGAAATCGCTAAAGTTGACACAGGCAACATCGGAACCTTTACCTGCGGCTTTATTTTCTCTAAAAATTTGTCGGACACCGCGGAAACCTCACTACCGCTATCGACAACTATGTCCGCTTCGATCGAACCTACTCTAGCCCGCAAAACTAGAGATCTGTACTTCTGCTCCTCTACATCTTTTTCTGACTCTGAATCACTACTTAATAGAGAGCTGGCATCATCGCAAAATGGAGCATTGATGGCCACAATATTCCTAACAACGTTTCCCGCGTCGTCTTCAACACCGCTATCGCGATTATCACGAGCATTGCTGTATCGCCCCAAAGTCGCTTCATTCTGAACCTCATCGACTTCTCTGAGATATGCATCTATCTCATCTACTGTTTTTAAACCCATGTTTACGATGCCGCGTTGAATCTCTAATGAAAAATGCAGCATTTTAGTTAATTTTTCGATCACGGAAGGCCCCCTCAAAATCCTCAAACTTTAGCCAAGTATCCTCTTTCATTGCTGCCCAGTCCGCCGCTGTACCTCGCAAACAAGAAACAGCAAGTCCGATCTTGTGGCTATCCGGAACGCCAGCATCCAAAAACAATTCCTTTAACTTTTTTATATAAGCCTGTGGGTGTTTCCTACCCTCCGGGCTAAAAACAACGTCATTACCTCCCAATTCCTTCCATATATACATAAAGTTGTGATCTGGCGCCTTACTCTCGCTACATACATCTTTTTTATCTGACTCCCCTTTCACAATCATAGATAAGCCCTCAGAGGATTTTTGTAATCCTATCATGCCAGTCGCTAGCTGTGATAAAACACCATTTAGTTCGGAATCCATATTCACTGAAAAATCATCCAGCACCTCGGTAGGTTTGTTTTTCTGAGCCCTCGATTTCTTAGGCATAACAGAACTAAACTAAATCAATATTCATGTACATTACATTGGCGATTATACATTAACCATACAGACTCAGTACACCGAAAAATATGTTGTTAAACAAGGTAACAACAAGAAAACATAAAAGTATACGAGAAAATGTATGTTATATGCACTCAAAACAATGGACTTACTATTCCATACAATGTTGCACCAGACGCTAGCTCAGCAACAGATAACGACTTCTCGCTAACTCGTTGTTTACGCTTTATTTTCTAGAAGTGCTTTGTAAGCACACCAATAGTATAAATAGGCCTTGCGCCCATTTCATGTTGTTCAATACCCGGCGCGACACCGTAATGTACGCTAACTAATAAGTTCAATTGTAACGTTTGTAACGGACAGAAGTTACTGTCCTCAAATAAATTTTTTAAAAAGTAAAGTTGAATTTAAATGATATAACATATATATATATATATATATATATATATATATATATATATATCTGATAAATAAAGACCTTGATCGTCTCACTAAAGCTTCTCGAAATATATGCTTAGACTTGAATCCGGCTAAAAGTACAGTCATGTTATTCGGGCCAAAAAATTGGAGAAACCATTGTGAACCTCTGGTGAAAATAAACCTCGATAACAATACTTTAGAAATAAGCTCGATAGCGCGTAATTTAGGCTTATACCTTGACAAAAACTTGAGGTTTGAGGAACATGTTAACAAGTGCTCCAGAAGGGCGTATTCTAATTTAAAGACGATATACGGTCAAAAATCTTACATCAACCAAAAAACTAAAGTCATACTGTGCAATTCTCTTGTTTTGTCGCATTTTAACTTCTGTGATGTCGTCTATGACAAATGTCTAACTAAATTCACTTCAGATAAAATACAACGCGTGCAAAATTCTTGTCTGAGACTTATTTTTGGTTTGAGTAAATTCGATTCAGTGTCAGCAAAGCTTACTGATGCTGGCTGGCTGAACATGAAGCAACGCAGGCTGCTTCACAGCCTCGTACAATACCATAAGATTATTATACAAAAACTACCTTCCTACTTACACGAAAAAATTCATTTCCGTTACTTAGCTCACAATCGCAATACCCGCAACAAAACTAAACTGACACCGCCTTTTCATTCTACCACCTTATTCGAAAGATCTTTTTCGTATAATATCAGCAAACTTTATAATAATATCCCGCGAGAGTATACTTCTCTTTCTATTGATTTGTTTAAAAAACGTATACGCTGCTACATTGCAGGGAATTGCATGGTATGACTTTGGAGGCATTATGTATTTTTATAGTACCATTTTACAAATTAGCCGCTAGGGTCCATTCTCTGATACTGCTTATACATGTGTGTATGTATATGTGGGTATATATGTGTATATATGTATATGTATGTATATGTATGTGTATATATGTATATGCTCTTTATCTCATTTTTATATATATGCTTACCTTATTATGATGTAAACCTAAAACCAGGGGTTAAGTGGAAGAGCGGATAAGCCGAACTTCGCCCCTCCCACTATATGTTCTTATAAGACTGGTTTTGCAACTTGTTTTGTATTTTCTTTGGTGGGAATAAAGACATTATTATTATTATTATATATATATAATATATTTATATATAATCGAGCTACACTTTTCAGGCTGTGCAAAAAGAACATGGAGCCTGAAGTCGTGTGCCGTACCAAACTAGGCCGTAAGCCCGTTTTACCTGATTTTTTGGAAAAAGAATTAGTTAAGCACTGTCTAGAGATGGATACATCGTTCTTTGGCTTGACGCTTCGCGATGTTTGTAATGTTGCTTTCTAATTAGCAAGAAAAAACAATATTCCTCATCCATTTTCATTACTTAGAAAATCAGCTAGCAAGGATTGGCTTTATCACTTCAGAATGAGGCATAAAAATGTTTTAAGTCTGAGAAGACCTACTGGAACTTCGTACGCTCGCGCCTTACGATTTAATAAAGAAAATGTAGACAAATTTTTCGACCTATTAGAGACCCTAATGGAGATTCATAATTATTCGGCAAGCCAAGTTTATAACGTGGATGAAACTGGTTTAACCATTGTTCAATCAAGAAATCCAGAAGTTTTTTTCTCTAAGGGGCAAAAGGCAAGTTGGGACAATGACGTCAGCCGAACGAGGTTCACTTATAACCCCAGTCCTTTGCATAAGAATAGTGGCAATTTTGTACCCCCCCCCCCTTATGATTTTTCCCAGAAAAAATGCAAGTGAACTTCTAAAGAAGGGTGCCCCGCCAGGAACCATTTTTTCCTTTCATCCGTCAGGCTGTATTCAGATGGATATTTTCACACAATGGTTCAAACATTTTCTAAAACATGTTGCACCGAGTCCAGAAAATCCTATTCTACTGATTCTAGATGGTCACTATACTCACACTAAAAACGTAGACGTTATTTTGGCTGCCAGGGAAAACCATCTGACTTTACTTTGCCTACCGCCACATACAACTCATGATGCAGCCATTGGATAAAACTGTTATGGGAGCATTAAAGACATATCACAATGAGGAAGTACGGCTATTTTTAAGAACACATAATCAATGATTTTGATTTAAGTGAACTTTTTGGTAACGCGTATCTGAAAATCCAAAGTGGTGAAAGATGTGTTAATGGATTTCGCCAAACTGGATTGTTTCCAGTTAACCGGAACGTATTCACCGAAGAAGACTTTATTCAAGAGGCACAAAGAAATGAAGTCCAAGTAAATTCAGAAGATTATGTGCTCCAGGAGAAACCCCAACCAGAAAACACAGCTCAAAATGCCACCATAGTCTTACCACGGGATATAATTCCCAAGCCAACTTTGAGGAAGTGACCAAGTCACGTACCAAAAAAGAAATTTCAAATAAAGGCAATAAAAAATCAGAAGAAGGTAAATCTTCATCGGAAGATTCCCACAGTTCTGCATCTTTACATGACTCCTCATCTAACGACGATGAAGAATTTCCTGTTTATGATCCTTCATCTAAGGAGGCTGAGTGTTTGTTTTGTTCGGGGTTATATTCGGCTGCTACAAGGGGAGAAATCTGGATTCAGTGCGCAAGATGTGAACTTTGGGCTCATGAGTTATGTGCTGATACGCCAAACGATGTTTACATTTGTGATTTTTGTCGCTAAAATATACCTATAAGCAGATATTTTTTAGTTCATTTAGTATTTCATATTACCCTATAGTGGTATTCCATATTACCCGACCATTTTTTGTAATGTCAGAAGTACTTATTTTATTCAACTTTATTTTTCTTTTAAATTCATAAAGTTTTTGAAATTCCAGACTTTTATTTGCTTAGATGGATAGTTACCACAATATTTAATGACTTTTCTAATGCACTGTACTGCACCTAGAAGAATTTATGACTATAATAGAAAACAGTATTCCATATTACCCGCCGCTACTCTACCATTAAGCGCATGGCACATAGGGGAACAAAATTCACATGCGGCATTAATATAATTTTGGGCATTATTGGAGGTTTAAGCTGTGAGTTGTATTCTATAGCTGGAAGGAAACGGTAGTGCATAGGTGCATAGTGAGCATTTGTGTGGTAATAATATGTGTTGATGATGATTCCACTGGTTTCTTGTCTCAAATACACTTACTTGAGATTAAAAGCTAGAACTTAGTAGCGCATCCACTTTTTCTTATTCATTCGGGAAATCAACATAAGCAAATTTGCTGAATTTAAAAAATGAGAGAGGTAAGACAAGAGAATCCATGGTTGGTGAAGGAACACGTGAGAAAATATGCTATGTCATAAGAAAATACAAATCAGCGCCTAGATATGAGGCATTGCCAAAAAATGTTTGATGTGTGATGCGCCATTCCTAATTTTTCTATTATGTGGCTTAATTGAACAATGCGTGTAGTAGAGCCATTTCTGTATAGATGGACGCTCACAGCGATCATAGCGAGTACCTAAACGTGGAATTGAACTAATGGCACCCTAAAAACTACTTAGTCTGCAAAATGACATTTTTTTGACGATTTATAGGTTTTTTACATAATTGCCGTGCTGATCAAGCAGTGATGAAATCAACCGGTGAATTAAAGGATACGCCTAATGGTATGAATATACACCCATCGACAAGCAACAAAACATGGCGATGCCAGAAATCTAACTGGCCAAAGAAGACAAAGCTACTATTACAGGAAAAGAAAAAAGATTAAAAAGTTACTAGTAGGTATATAAGTTAACCTCAAAATTTGCACGTTATACAAGGGAACCCGAAGAGACAAAGAATTAATTCCACGGCTGGACAGGTAAAGCTACCTCCAGATATCAAGATACAAGGAACGCCGCAGATTGGAAGTTTTTGGAGAACTTCATTTGACGATTATTTAATAGCCGCAAGGCAAAATGACTCGGCGGATGAAATACAGATGATCAGGGCAACTTATCCGAAGTTGAAGAATTCATATCAATCAGCATTAGCCAAGCCATGTACATAGCAATAGAATTTTCAGATGAAATTGGTGGTGAGGGCGATATTGCCATCGTGCATGAAAAGTGGTCACCGCCAACAAACAAACGGGTGTGGTGGCCACCATATAAGCAGCAAGATAATAAAATAACATTTTTACAGCTTTTGAAACACAAGTTATTAATCTTCTTGTTACTATAAAAACTCAAAACAAAGATATTAAAAGTATCTTGCTCCAGAACAATAAGGAAGTGGCATTAGAGTTACCCTGAGACTTTCCTGTGCATCTTCCCGTATTAATTGCTGAAGATATAGACATTTTGGATGAATATGTAAGGATGACAAAACATTATCAGCACTGGTAATTTTGGTAGATTAAAGTGTACATTTAACAATATAATTTTGAAACAAATGTCAAGAGCTATACTGCTTAACATAATGTTAAAAAATACTCGCTAAACTATTTTTAATTGTAATTTTTTGTGTTAGCTACTTTACTTACTGGAACCTCATTTTCTAGCTTTGTTTTGCAATGCTAATGTAAAATTAATAATAACAATATATATATCTTTATTGTACTAGATGAAATACATATCCTGAGAACTTTAGTTGACCAAATTAGGAGAATATTATTTTCATTTTCAGATCTTGTACTTTTCAAAGTCAGGGGGACGTGATATTACCAATAAGACCAATATAATTTTGAGGTACCTAATATCTAATGATTTGGTGGTTAGCTACAGTTATTTGGGGACTAGACAAGAAAAGAAAGCATTTAAAACTTAAATTATTAACAAGGCTGTAATAAGTAAGTAGTAAGTATTAACATATCTCTACAGGTTTCAGAAAAAAGATCTGATGTAACATACAATACTTGGTGTACAACTATATTCAAAAATCAATTTTCTTCATTTTAGATCCAGGCTGTGTGTGATCATCAGAGAAGGTTTAAAGATTTATTTGTAGGGTATCCAGGATCAGTTCATGACAGTCGAGTTTTTCGGACTTCTCCTCTAAGTCAGACATTAGAACAAAAATGTGGGACCTATTTTATACTGGGAGACAGTGGATACCCTCTTCAAAAAAATCTGCTAACACCCTACAAAGACCGAGGGACTCTAACTCAACAACAGATAAATTACAATATAAAGTTATCTAAAAATAGATGCATTATTGAACATTCTTTTGGTATGCTGAAGCAAAAATTCCGTCAACTCTATCACATCAAGTTACGGACGATACCATTGATAGTCCATTTTGTAAGAGCAGTCTGTGTTCTCCATAATATTGCTATCAAGGATGAACTTCCTAATGCTAATTTAATAGAGACAATCGAGGCTGAGAATGCTGCAGTAGCCATTGGTGATGATAATGAGGATATAGAAGATGATGGTAGTGCTGTTGCTATTAGGGACCACATTGCAGCTATACAGGGTTATCCAAATTAAGTGTCCACCATTGGTAACTTTGTTATTAGTAAAAATACAAAGTTGTTTAAATTAGCAAACTAGTAGCATTTTTAACGCTGGTAAAAATGAGAAATAAAAAAAACAATTGAGAGTCGTTATTTTGATTTTTTTCAGTAAAATAACATTTTTTTAAATGGAAACCCCTGTATATTATATTTTTTTCTGTTAAAGCATCAAATTTTAAACAAAAAAGTTCATAATGACTTTTCCGCTAAAGTCAAAAATAAAGTCAAAATAACGATAAATATTTTTAATTATTTGCAGTATTATAATATTAAGACGGCTATGAAAACAGCATGGCGTTCGCGATTTGACAGCATTAAGATAAGCGACAAATTGTTAAACTGGACATACTCGCAACTAGAAGGCTTTGGAAAACAATGATAAAATCAAATAATGTCAAACATTAGTGTAAATACTTGTTTATAAGCTTTATTGTGTCATTAATTTAAAGAAAAATGTTCTCCCATGAAGAAAAGTGTGATATGTTATAATGCTATTTAGTGTGCAGAAAATCCTCCTTGAGAGCAAGAGAATACTACAGTGAATTATATCCCGCTCGCATTCAACCGTATGAACGATATTTTCTGAGACTTTATCGAAAATTTAGGGGCAACGAAAATGTTTTTGCTAAAACAAGGGCAAAAAAAGAATTCATAATAAGCGAGGCCACGGAAATTGCAGTTATTGGATATTTTGAAGCTTATCGTGAGCATTCAATAGCAGATATTCTCAAGGACTCTAATTTCAGTTATGGTACTGTTCAAAGGATTTTAAAAAAATACAAATTTATTCCGTATAAGTACCGACCAGTTCAAACGCTTTTGGCAGGGGATCCAGAGAGAAGACTTGTTTTTTGCCATTGGTATCTTAGCTTCTGTCGCCAAAATGTAAATAACTTTCGTTACCTTTTATGGACAGATGAATCAAATTTTTCAAATTCTGGAATGTTTAATAGAAAAAACCACCATTATTGGTCAAGAGAAAATCTTTTGTTAGTACATCCAAGAGGCCCACAAGTCCGTTTCAGTTTCAACGTTTGGTGCGCTATAATTGGTTCAAAAATTGTTGGCCCGTTCTTTTATGAGGGAACCCTAACTGGTGAAAGATATGTGGAATTTATGTCAGAAATTCTGACTAATTTCTTAGACGAATTGGATCTTATAAGTAGACATCATCTGCATTTTCAGCAAGATGGCGCACCTGCCCACAACTCCAGAGGTACTTATCATTTTCTAAGTACTACTTTTAATGATCAGTGGATAGGAACAAATGGCCCAATACAGTGGCCTCCCAGATCACCAGATCTAAACCCACTTGATTACTTCTTGTGGGGTTACTTAAAGAACCAAATTTACAAGCGAAGGTACGATAACCTTGACGCGTTAAAGACTGCAGTTAGGGAAAAGATAACCCAGATAGATGGTAGGACCATACTTAAGACAGTTCGAGCAGTTGAAAAACGTGCCCAAAAATGTATTGAAGAACAAGGTGGTGTTTTCGAGCATCTTCTTTAGAAAAAATTGTTATTGTATTTTGTAAGATTATAAGTTGATGTTGAAAATAAAGTTTGTCGATACAATTTAATTGTTTGAGATTGGAGGCCATAACTTCAACAATTTGTAACCTAGGAGAAAAGTTATTGTAAGCTTTTTTGTTTAAAATTTGATGCTTTAACAGAAAAAAATATAATATACCGGGGTTTCCATTTAAAAAAATGTTATTTTACTGAAAAAAATCAAAATAACGACTCTCAATTGTTTTTTTTTATTTCTCATTTTTACCAGCGTTAAAAATGCTACTAGATTGCTAATTCAAACAACTTTGTATTTTCACTAATAACAAAGTTACTAATGGTGGACACTTAATTTGGATAACCCTGTATTATGAAGTGGGACAGCTAATAATTTCATAAAAATATGGGTCCACAAATGCTCCATTTTTATGATAAATGGTAGCTTTCCATCTTTGACAGTTTATTTTACATTCATCAAAAAACTGTGGGGGTATTTGTAAGAATATTAAAAACTTGAGCATCGAATCTATTCAATCACAGGTTTTTGATAAATGTAAAATAGAAAATTAAAGGTGGAAAACATTTAACACATGCACACATATGAATAGAGCATGACTGGGTCCATTGTCATGTGAACTTTTCTTTACATTTTACAATATTTTATCTGACCTTAAATGTCTGTCACTACATTTTGTAACACCTTGTATAATATCATTTAAATAGTTTATGTTAATTTTAAAGAAACTCATGTGCATAATGAGGTGAAAGTATTTATTACTGCTTTGTAAAATCTATACATGTACATTTCTCTTGTTTTATGTTGATAGATTGTCTTTTATTGCAGTCTTTCCCCAAATCACAAATGTATTTGTAGTGTTTAGAATCTAATAAATGAGTTGCATTATATGACTATGTGTATGAATCAAGAGCTGTAGCAGAAGGTATCCAGTATATGGATGGTCATGACAATACAATATGTGATCTCCTTGTTAACTAATAACTGAAAATAAATTGTCAAGATAGATGTCAATGAAATAGTAATGCGAATTAATTGCTTTTTCCTTGTAGCGTCAATAACAGAATAATAAAGGAGCACCAACAATTTAAATAAAAGAGAAGTATGAAAATCAAAAAAATATATTTCCATATATTTAACATTTAAAAAATCAGTCTTCATGTTGCATAAAGTATTAATGAACAATTAAAATCACTTGAAACTTATCACATGGTTCTATGCTAGATTAGTTTTATTCATCCATGGGCAGTCAGTTAAACCACATGAATTAAATGAACTTATTTACTACTTTATGTCACAGCAGCATTTTAAAAGTACACAATAAGAATAGACAGTTAAGAGTTACACTGACGATCTATATTGATATGAATTTAGAATCAGAGCTATTTAATAGAAAACCCTTCATAATGTTACTGTAACTTTCAACATTTCGTGTTTTTTTTTTTCTTATTTTGCACTATGATAAAGGCTGCCAGGGCAGCTGAAATGTCCATAAATAAGTCCACTCATGTGTTTGATTCACCAGCCAGTGATGAGGTAGACAAATTAATTATGAATTCTTTGTACCATCACAACATAAATGACACACTTGAAAGCTAATTAGAGATACTGCAACAAAACATAAATCAGTCTATCCAAAAGGAATTGCACAACTGAAAACTAATCAAAAACAAGCAGAGTACACCCTGTTCAAATGACACTTGCACCTATTTCAGCCTACCAAATAAGCTTATAAGTAACTTTAAAATAAACTAATTCCATAACACTTTTCAGTATGTGGTAGGGGAAGGTTTTAACTTTGATTTAGACACCTGTCAATGCAAACCATAAGTTTCAACACAGAAAATGCTTATTTGTAGTGATGTTCAGACATAAATTGCTTATAACTCGGAAATGGTCAACTTTAAATAATTTACAGAGTTTTGGGCTGTGTCCATTTTGTTGAGAATACTGGGATCACTTGACACATAGGTCACTACTAACTTGTTTCTGACGTTATGTTAAGCATTCAAGTTATGAACGAGTTAATGTCTGCATACCCATTATTTTCAAAACTGTTGAGTATCTAATTAAGGTTAAGACCTTCCTCTACAAGGTCCTGAAGAGTACTGGAAAAAGAGTGCATACCCATTTGTTTGAACTTTATGTACTCATTTGCAATAATATAAAACTAGAACACAAATCAAATTTGAACATAACATAATATAAAATTAATATTTCAATACTGAACACAACAAAACTAATAAACTATGACTTAACTTTAATGGCAAAATACAGTAAAGCTAGGAGCTTGTTTGGTGACAGTTACACTGCTTTTCTTTGAGGATGTTGTTTCGTTCCTCAATCAGTTGGTTCCTTTTTTTCATTTCTTCTAATTTTAAGTTTTCTATGTGCAGTTTTTCCTCATAATACGTTTTGCGGTCACTTCTTATTTTTTCCATAATACCTTGTCTTATTCGAATTATCTGACTTTTCTTCTGTGGTGTCACTGCTTGCAATGATTTTGGGCTGCTTATGCTTTTAGATGGTGAAGAGACATCTGGTGCAGCTGTAGTGATAGCATTATCACTGTTCATATCTATTTGAGTATCTATTTGATCACTTGCTAGCAGCAATTCAGGATGGATATTTTTTTTCTTGAGAAATACCTCCTCCATTTCATGCTTATACTCAAAAAATGTTCTTCCTCTACCTAAAATTACAGGAAAAAATTAAATTACATCCTGCCAAGCATATGCAAAGTTGCCTTAGCTTTTACATCTAACTATGGTGTATCTCATTGGATTCATAATTAAAAGGCAATTTCAATTACTTCTCAGCTTTAGGAGTCCTCTTACCTGTTTGCCTTTGGTTATCAACATATTTTTTATAGTTCCGCTCCAGTACCCTCCATCTATTCATGCAATTGTTTGGCGTTACCTTAATATTAAGGTCTAGTAAAGCCTGTGATATTTTCCACCACATCATCTTTGAATTTTTGACGTCGAAGGAACCTAGCTTCCTTTTAAAGGTTCCATAAACTTCAATGAGAATTTTGGTTGCCTGATGACTCCATCTAAATTCTGGTGCTCGTGCCGTGGTACTCTCGCTCGGCAGAGCACTTGTATTTGGCATAACAAGAAACTATTTAGTTCTGTAAACAGAAGGCAGTTAGCTCCATACGTCCCAACCCCATAGTCGTCAAACTTACCATAAGCTGGGATATTTTGATTCTCCATGGCAAAACAACATTCCTTATCCTTATAACCTTCAAATTTCAACATTCTAATTTCTATTCAATGCGCATGTGTGGACTCACAGTCCTCGCTACGGACCAGGTACTGTTTTGACGGTCCAAAAACCGTTCGTTGAACTGTCGGATATCTGTTGGAACAGTGTATCAAGCGTCCCATGAACCGTCATAGGTTTGTGTTGGAACACTTCAAGCGGACTGCGCACGTGCGTGACGGTACAATGTACGGTACGCAGCGTTGTTGGTACAAACCCAACGTCACCCGTTTCAATTAAATATCGAATGAAGAATTTTTCAAACTAAAAGGGCATATGTCTACCTAGGCCATCTAGGTATTAGGCACAATAATACTTATGCCTTTCTTATTATAAGAAATACAGTTATAAGTTTACTTATGCCCTTCTAACTGACTAAACGGATAGTTCCCGCGCTTTTTAGTTAGACGTAACCTTAAAACAAAGTGTAGGATGTTTACATTTTTCACAAGTAATTATTCAGTTATTATGTTTTAAAACATTATAATATAAGCTAAAATTGATTTAGCGCTCTTTCACATGGTCAGGGGGTTTATCCGTCCGTGTGATCGCCCGTCAACCGGACAAATAGTAATACACAGTTTAGCATAGGTTCTTTCACACTTCCCGGACACGGGTGAATCCCCGTCCGGGCATACAAAACGCCCGGATGTCCCCGCTAGAACTCACGGAGCTCGGACGGGTAATCGCCCGGAATATGCCCTAGCGGACTACAGTGTGCCATGAATGCATTCACATGATCCGGGTGTTTAATCGTCCGATTGGTTTATACTTGTTTGCAGTCCAGTAGACGAAGACCGTGTGTACTCTGCAGTGTAGCTACGAGCATTTGATCATGTCGAAAGAAGTAGAACAAATAGATTCTGAAATCCTGATTAGTTTAGTTCAGGATAAACCAGAAATCTGGGACAAAGCTGCCGAGGATTACAAAAATCGCAACAAAAAAACAGAAGCGTGGAGAAGTATTTGTGCCCAGTTGAAGGGAAATTTTGAAAATTTGAGTGACGGGGAAAGAAAAGAATTTGGTAAGTTTAAAGTTATTTTATTATTTGCCTCTTATTTCTTATGAACATTGAACTAAACATATGTTATGGTTGGGTAATAGTATAATTATATAATAAATAAAACAAGATTCCTAAATTTTCGACAACTGCCATGATACTTTGCCTACTTCTGTTAGAAAATAGTCACTTAGAACATTTCTGATATTATTAGCTGCCCTTCCACCTTGCATATTTGCTTGTGCTGGCAAATCATTCATACCCACAACTGTCATGGTATCCTCGAAGTTATAGCCATCTCTTTCTCTCACGAAATTGTGAAGCACTACACAAGCTTTCACAATACTAACGGCAAAATCTGTATTAACATTCAAAGATCGATGAAGAATTCTCCATTTGTTTGAATTTGAACACTCAACATATCTCCTGGCTCGGCTGAGGCGATAATTGAAAATCCTTTTCTTCTGTGAAAGTTCCTTTCCTCCAAAAGGCCGTAGTAGATTAATATTTAATCCAAAAGCTTCATCTCCTATGAGAAAATAAGGTACGTTTGAAGCTTCAGAACCAGATAGAGGCTTTGCAGATGGCAATTCCAAGGACTTTTTTTGTATACTCTTCCACAAACTACTTTCTTTGAATATACTTGAATCACGCTCACTCCCATATGCACCTACATCAACATAAATGAACCGATAATTCGAGTCAGCAACTGCCATCAACACAACTGAGAAATAGGACTTATAATTATAGTATAAGGAACCACTAAACTCGGGTTTTACAATTCTAATGTGTTTCCCGTCCACAGCACCAATGCAGTGGAAAAAATTCGCTCGTTTTTCGAATCCAGCAGCTACTGACTCAAAACGTTCTTTTGTAAGTTTCGGAATACATTCTTCAACTAAGCACGACCAAAGAATGTCACAGACCTCTCGAACAATTTTTGAAATTGTAGAAATTCCCAATCGATAGCTATAATACAGATCTGTAAAGCTACATCCACTAGCCAGGTACCTGAAAGTAAAAAAAAAAAACAATAAATTGAAAATCTATAATTCGAGTCTAGTATTGTTGAATATTTTTTTTGTTACAGGTCAACTAGTTCTTAAAAGGTGGAATAATATCAGAGACCAGTGGCTTAAATGGAGGAATCGAGACAAAAACTCGAAAAAATCAGGAGCAGCTGCATCAAAACTGCGAAAGTATTTGTATCACGAACAACTAAATTTTCTAGAGCAAGGCTTATATCACCGGTCAACTGATGCAAGCATGGCCTATGAGCACTCAGATGAAGCAGAAAGTCAGCAGCAAACTGAAGAGCTCCAGTCAGCAGAAGATCAAGGGACGGCGACTCCGGATGCAACTAAGCAGACTTCGCAAACTCCAACTGCAAAAATCCCTTCCGTGAAGACCACATCTGTGCAACAGTCAACGAGGAAGAGGAAGCGAACCCTCGACGAATTTGAGCTAAGGATGCTTAAATCGGTAGAGGCAGGAGACCAAGAGGACCGTCATATGCAATTTTTTAAGGGCATTCTTCCATCTGTTCAAAAGTTCACAGACAACCAGGTTGTAGATTTTCAGATGGGAGTTCTGCAGGTGATTAAAAACATTCAAAACACTGTCTCTATTCCAACAACCCAACCTCAACAGCTGCAGATTTATGCTCCTCCATGCTCTCAACAACACACACACCAGTACCCCTGCAGCTCTCCATTACAGAACTCTCAGCAATATCCCTCTTCTGACCTTTCATACACTCCACTGCTAGGCAGGGTCTCTAGTCAACATCATGAAACGATTCCATCGAGTACCATATCTACAAACATCATATCTCCTGGTTCTAATGACACACAATCTAGAAGTAATTATAGGAATTTGACATCCCCTTTCTCACATAATTCAGATATTGACTTTTGATCTTTTGAAGTATTATAATAATAAATATATTTTTGCATTAAAAAAATAGAATATTAACCTAAAATGTATATTTTGTTTTTATTTATTTTAAATAAACATACCTTAATGTAACAGCCAACATTTGTTCAGGTTGGATGCAATTCCTCATATTTGTATCTTGTCTTTGTAGCTGTGTCTGCACACGTTGCAGCAACTCATCAAAAGAAGAAACGCTCATACGAAAATAATTTAAAAACTTAGTTTCGTCTTCTTTCAGTTGTTGAAAAAGCACAAAGAATGCTCCTTCCAGGTATCTGCTTTCTAGCAAAGGGTGAACCCAAATTTGCCTATTACGTTGTTTTTTTCGCCGATGTTTTAATAAAGCGAACAAAATCGTTTTGCGTCTACTGTTCATCATAATCAGCGGCAAACTGAAGTACCTAGCAAAAAGTGGTCCGGATTTTCGCACACACCCGTCCACCCGTGTGAAGAGAGTTCCAGGGTGCTGCCCGGCCGGGCGATCATACGGACGGATAAATATCCTGACCATGTGAAAGAGCGCTAAGGGCTGTTAAAAATGGTTAAATGTCGTAGTGGGCGAACTCAAAGAATGCTAGATGTGTGTAGACGGCAGATTGAGTCAAGTAAGTGTACAGGTTACGGCGGCGCAGATCTAGTGATACCTATTTGATTTCAGGCAATGACAGTTACGATCCTCACAATTCTCAAAACGAAGAATCGCAATTTGAAAATGACCGAAAAAACTTATCAGAATCGTTAATCGGACAATCAGGTAAGTCACATTTGTTGACAGAGATATTCGATTGTATACTTCATAGCTTCAATTGGAATCGTGCTAATCGTTCCAAGTTTAAGTTATTGATGAAAATGAAATATATAGAATGTTTTATTATTTTTCCAGAAAAAAGAGTCAAGTTGAGTGTTGATGAGATGTTGAGCAATCCACCTGTATCTAATGAGCATGAAACATATTTCGACTCGCTGGATTTCCAAGGCCTCAATTTTCCTTGTGTTGATGAATCTCTGGTAGTATCCGTAGCAATTGATGATCTGGTAACGGAGGGTACGTTTTTTTTCTGTTCGTATAAATTCGTTACTTGAAATATTGTATTTGAAGGAATATATCTACAAGATCAAGAACTGCCATTGATTACAAACAATTGCATCAAGGATGCAGAAACTAATCAACAGGACAACGAAATTCTTCAAGCTGGAAACGAAAATATAGAAAGTGCAAATGAGAGTGGAGATAGTAGCCAAATGGTTGATAATATAGATGATGATGTACATGTAACTCAAAACGGAAGTAACGTCAAACCATTTGCAGTTAAGAAAGTTAAAGAGCGCAAAAGTAAACGTAATTTAGGAATAAGTTATTGTACTATAAAGGGCAAAATTATCGAATCCAGGAGACTTAAGCCCTTGAGGGACAACTGTAGAAATAGATGTAAAGATATTTTAACGGAAGATATGAGGAAACAAATTTTTGACGAGTATTGGTCGTTGGGAAGTCCTGACCGTAGGGTGGCTTTTATTGCAGGATTGATAAAAGTCCAAGAAAAAAATGTGACAAGACGAAAAATTGAAGGCAGAGCAACAAAAAATAGGAATAACACATACAAGTATAAATTATTTGTAAGAGGTGACGAAAAAAATGTCTGTAAAGTGTGCTTTTGTAATACCCTAGGCGAGACCAAAAAATTCGTAAGGTGTGCTGTGGAAATCAAAGCTGTCTTCAACTAGCGGAATCACCCACGAGGACCTGAGAGGGAAAAACTCACCTCCCCACAAGACGCCAATATCGAAAATCAATGAAGTTAAGAAACATATAAATTCCTTCCCAGCCTACAAAAGTCACTATTCCAGGCGACATTCAGATAAGAAATATTTACCATCTGATCTAAATATCAGTATCATGTACAAGTTGTATTGTGAACAGCACCCTGGAAAATCTGTATCTTTTACTATCTATAGAAATCTGTTCCATACCATGAAGGTTTAAAAGACCCAAGATTGATACATGCACAAAATGTGATACACTTAACGCTAAACTTAAGTATACGATTTCTAACAAGGAAAATGAAAAGAAGCAAATAGAAGAATTAAATAGAAACTCAAAACGAGGCAGAAAATGCGTATAAATCTAAATCATTGGACAAAGAAAAATACAAACTCAATGAAAAATGTGTGACCTACGCTTTTGATCTTCAGCAAGTCTTACCTACACCTTATTTAACATCGAATAAGATGTTCTATCTAAGACAGCTATCAACTTATAATTTAACCATACATAATTGTTCAGATGGAAAATCGAGTCACTTTATGTGGCCCGAGAGCACGGGTGCTAGAGGAGCAAATGAAATTTCATCTTGCATTTATAGATTCATCAAGTCAATCCCGGAGAGAACAGATCACTTAATTTTCTATTCCGATACATGCGGTGGACAAAATAAAATTTTTATTGTTATGAACATGTTTCAGTACGTTGTTCATACTCATGCAACCGTTAATATTATTGACCATAAGTTTTTGGTTCCTGGGCATACGCATTTAGAGTGTGATATCGATCACTCGGTGATTGAGCGAGCCAAAAAAAAAAGACTTCAATTAGTATTCACGTTCCAAGAGATTGGTACCAATTAGTGAGAACTGCGAGCAAAAAAGATAAATTTTCTGATTTTCCTATGGAAATTGACCATTTTTTGGCTTTTTCGGAATTATCCACAAAAGGACCTCTCCAGAAAAAAAATCAAAATAAGAGATATTCGTTGGTTAAAGGCATTCAGCCCACCCCCCAAAAAAAATTATTTCCGCAAGGTGGCAGTACAATGACGAAATTCATGATTAAATCGAACGCCTGGCCCACTGGGCTCTGAAGACGCCTACCCATCGCCGTGTGATTACACAACGTTGCCAGAACGGCGCACCGGCCTAGTCATCCTGCCGGCGCCAGGCTATATGGGATTTTGGTAAATTGTCACCCTTTCATACAACTACCCGTCAACTTTGACAGCCTGTCAGTTCGCCAGTCTTGGAAATGTTATATTCTAGAATAAAGCACTAGTAAGAATGGGTAGCACCTGACCTTTCAGTCCATTTAAAAAATGTTCCAAAATTATTGCACCCATGAATTTCAGCTAGCTAACGTGACCCGTTCAAACAAAAAGTAGAGGGAACATTGAAAAGCACTGTATGTATATAAGCTACTTTGAAAAAATAGACATCATAGGTAGTATAAGTTTATTCACATATATACAGTTTCAGTGGACCCAACAATCCAAATACATACATATAGACAAATAAACTTCAAAATCCCACTTAAGTATATATACCTGCTAGATACAGATATGAGCATCCCTACTAATATTATAAATGTGTGTATGTTTGTGTGTTTGTATGTTCCGTTTTCACGCCAAAACGGCTGAACCAATTCCGATGCATTTTGGAACAGATATAGATTAGACCTTGGAGACGAAGGGGTTGAAATGGGGGTAAATGTGACCATGTGCATCAAGAAACTATTATTATTTTAGTTCGTGAGATAAATATTGGTTTTTATATATATTTGGTTCATACATATACATTAAATGAGCACTCACAAAGCAATTTTGGAAATTCCACCCCCAAGCAAGGGTTGAAGCGAGGTAACGCCCTTTGTACTGAGGAACCTAAGCTATTTCAAATAGCCCAGAAGTAGGGGGTATCTTTTGTTTATAATTTTATCTATAAAATAAACTGACATTAACAAAGGCTTCCATAAATGATATCCTCCAGATGGGGAAGGGAGGGGGGTGAATATTTCTTATCAGCTTTTTGATTTGTTGTCACCGTTTTGATAAATTTATCTCGAGAACTAAGACATACATATGTATATAATATATATTTTCAAAGAATTTCAAAATTTCAGAATTTTAAAAATTTTTAGAATCTTCAAAATTTAAAAAATTTGTAAGATTCTCAAAATTTTACAAATTTAAAACCTCAAAATTTTAAAAATTTTCATGATTTTCGAAAGTTTAGAAATTTTCAAAATTTATCAAGCTTCAAAATCATCAAAATTCTAGAAATTTTCAAAATTTTTTCGATTTATAAAATGTTCTAAATTATTATGATTTTCAAAATATTGAAAAATTTTAAAACCAACACGGTAACTAGTCAGCATGGCGAACGACGCACCTGTCTTAAATAGGGCCAATAATCTTCCGCCGAGGGAGTGGTCAGCGGGAGGCGTGGTTTTGCCAAAATATTTGTCAAATTACTTCTACAACTCAAAAACCGTTTGATCAAATGAGTTGATTTTTTCTTTGATGGCTTGTTCTTTCAGTTCTTTATGTCTTTTATCCACATACTTTCAAAAAATCGTTTTCCTTCAAAAGAAAAATAAAATTTTTATGCGAAAAATAAATTATATGTGGAAAATGAGCGATAAAGGACGTTCCTTTATTGATTCATAATGCAATCACTTAATTTCATGTCTTTACGATTATTTGTTTCGAAGCTGGGACTGTAAAAAATTGGCAAAAAAAAGTTGTCATTTTGACAAAAAAACATGAGATTATCATAAATCAGTCATTTTTATACACACCCTGAAATAATCAGACAATAAGTGCTCATAATACTGCTCCAAACGCACAGTTGAAAAAAAGGGACGTGCGACCTTAAGGTACACTAAGAATGCCACAGTGGCCTACAAGAATAGTTTGAACGAAGAGGAACCATTCATAGAGGTTAATTTATTCAGAAAGGGGCATAACCCTTCAAGTCTAAAGGATATTCAATTAAAAAAAGTTTATAATGGCCCACGGCCTATCAGCAGCTTGAAGAAACAAAATCTGGTAGAAATTGTTTCTACTTTAGACAATGAGGTTCAATCATACTACAATAAGTTGAAAACTGATAAAAAAATTGAGGAAGATACAGATCCAGATGTAGATAGGTATCTAACTGATGATGAAGAATGCTAGCATTCATATATTTTATTCTTATTTGCTTAGTTCTATCTCGTACCCGATACTGAGAAAGCATTGTCTATTAATTTCAATTTATTTCATTATTATATGTTTAGTTTTTTCTTGTACTCGATAAAATTACTATTACTAAGAAAGACTGTTTGTTGATTTTATTATAAAGTTTACCTATTTTGAGTTATGTTCATAAAAACCGATGTCTATGCTAATAAAACTTATTATATCCATATCAAAACATGTTTACTTATACCCAAAATACCCAATTACTGCAAAAAAGCTGAGTAGCATGTTCACTTGAGCTACTTTAACTGAAACAAATAGCAGAAATTGAATGAAAATATATAGACTTATGCCCTTCTCACCATAACAGATATTGTGGCATGTCTTGTACTAGGTCGACTTATATCCCTTGGATCATTTTTTTCTATGAATATGTTGTTTCATGCCGTTTTAACCATAACAAATTCAATTAACCTATTTGACAAAAAAGGCATATCTAATAATTTTATCATTCATCCTTCATATATGGATATTTTCTTATACTATATGGTTCAGGATTTTATGATAGAGAATTAATAAAACAGGTTTTGTACCATTTTTCCTAGCCACGCCAAAACTAAATCAATATAAAACCAGTCAAAACTTTGCCGCCATTTTACCGAAAACAACAAACATATACATAAGCCCTTTCAACTATTTACCACAGATTTAGACTTTGAACAAGACGTCAAAAATAATATATCGACATACATATCATCTTTATCTGCTTTGGACTTGACTGACTATAGCGAAAATGTTGTAGGATATATTTCTGGTTTTGTGGTAAAAACAATGAAAAAATGTGTCACTTGCACAAAATGCAGCAGTGCATTAGAAAGTTCCGAAGTCATTTCTATGTTACAGAGAGTTAAACAATATGGTAAACTTGTAAAAGCCTCTCGATTCGTAATTCAACTATGTATACCGCTGCCGAAAAATATTTTAGATTCTTCCACAAAACCACAAATATTTTCAATAAAAATATTCACAATTTATTAGAAACATTGAAAATCAATACGATCAAAACTTTACCACCAGAAATTCTAAGCCATTTTGAGCACCATTTGTTTGATGATGATCCTGTAGATGGGCATGCAGTTCAATTAATAAAACTAATACTCCACCATTATTTCAAATTAAGAATACACCATAAAACTGCTAAAAATATGGCCTTATCAGCAAAAACAAGAGTTCGAAGTGTACTAACCAAAACTATTTTATTTAGGCATGAATAATTCTAGAATATAAAAATGTATATACCACAAAAGTCAAAATACTCTTAATGTAGCGTTTTGTATTATATGTTTACAATAATATAAAACTTTGAATCGGTAAAATCTATAAAATAGTTATCATCTATTCATACTCTAAGATTATTGGTGTGCTAGAATTGCAATAATTCATTTAGTTTTTATCAAAATGTACCTTAACTTTGATTAATACTTGTCCTTTTTCCCATTTTAGGAAAGAAGTAAAAGAAGCTTTTGTTAGACAAATCATTTTTGTATTTCTCCAATTTTTATAGAGAGTCTCATTTAATTAACGTTAGTATTTGTATCTTTATTCTTCATATCCTAACCATATTTCATATTATTAACACGTTAATCGCCCAAATGAAGCAAAAAATATTCTACCCCCAGGCCAAACATATTTTTTTTAGGAAATACTTAATTTTCACTCTGGATATGATGTGCTGGCTGTTATCAGACGTTAGTCTTAGAAAATGTCCCAAAAATATATTTTGAAAATGACTCCCGACTTATGGGTTTCAGATCCCCCGATCACTGAGCGCCGCGAAACCCAAATGTCGGGTGTCATTTTTTCAAGTTCTAACAAGTCTCTGTATGCTAGAAATGCAGATGCTTCGTGTAGTTTCCAGTCCAATTGTTGAGAGCGCGCCGAATAGTAAGGCTTGGTTGTGAATAAAATAATTTGAGTTGTGATTTGTGCTATAAAATAAAATGACGGGCACATATGAAAAGGAGCAAATGAGACTTATGAAATTGTGGAATGAGCTGCTATCAGACGAAGAGGAACAAGGACCTTCAGAGCTCATGGACAATTCTTCAGACGATTACTTGCCCAGTCATTCATCATCAGATGTTGACTCCGACACAAGCTCATTGCAATTGAAACCCAGGAAGAAGAAAGCTAAAAGGTAAATTATTATAATTATTTTGTGACCAACTAACTTTTGCTTTCTTGTTCAAAAGTGTGGTTTCTCCTTCATAATGCTCCCAACTAATAATTTCTAGATTATCTATCAAATCGAAGAAATCTAATGATGGTCTTCAGATGAACAACCCAGTACTGACATTATCCACCAGTAACTTTGCAACAGCTGTAAATTCCTCGAGGTCCAATATAATTCATCCTAGTACAGATAGTGAAACTGACGATTCTTGGCAGGAAATAAATCCTAGAAAAAAGACTAAAAGGTAAATATAACCTTATTGTGGACAAGAAAATGTGCTGACCTTTTTGTCCTGTGCTTAATGATCAGTCAATTATTATATATTTTGAAAAATATACTCATACATAATCTTTTCTTTCAGATCAAACAATGTTGAAATACCTACGGTTATCCTAGGGTGCAATCATCGCGATCCGCAACCTTTTACTTCTAGAGATGCAAACATCATACCAAAAGAACAACGTCAGTCCACTATTGATGAAGTCATCGATGAAGTTATAGCTCAGTTTTGTCTTATAGATAGTGAAAATGAAAGCGATGAAGATCCTCTGCATGATGAACTACACTGGATTCCTTCGACCGGCTCTCATTTAAAAAAGTTCATTTTTGATTTAGATCATGTCGGTGTTACTACACAGATATCTGAGGACTTTATTACCAAGGCACCGTATGATTTTTTCAAGATATTTCTCAGTGACGAACTTCTGGATTTGATTGTACTAGAGACCAATAGATATGCTAGACAATGCAAAAACAAACCTTTGGCAGTAAACTCGCGCTTACACAGGTGGAGAGATACAAACAGGGTTGAAATTACGACATTTTTTGGAATTGTAATGTATATGGGTCTAGCAAGGTTGCCGAAAATGACGGATTACTGGTCCAAGAATCCCTTATATAGCAATAAGGTGTCGTGTAAAATGTCCAGAAATCGATTTGAATTACTCCTCAGAGTGCTACATTTCAACGATAACGAAATTATTGATAAAAATGACCGACTGGGAAAACTAAGCCCACTATTAGAAAACTTGACCAATAAATTCAAAGAGGTTTACGTTCCGGAGAAATCTGTCTGCATAGATGAAACACTAGTACCATTCAGAGGCAGGCTGTCATTCAGGCAGTATATCAAAAATAAGCGGTTCAAATTCGGGATAAAACTACAAATTATGTTGTAAGGATGGCTATACATACGATATCAAAGTATACTGCGGAAAAGATAAAAATTCAGAGAAACCTGCTACAGTTTCGACTGTTTTGTCACTAATGGAGCCACTTTTAGACCACGGACGGATCTTATACACCGACAACTACTACACTAGTGTCGCCTTGCCCATGAGTTACAAAAGCGTAAGACTAATCTTGTGGGTACCCTAAGAAAAAATAGAAAAAACAACCCAAAAAATGTGGAGGCTCAAAAATTGAATAAAGGAGAAATTTGCGCAATGGAAAGTAATACAGGGGTGGTTGTTTTGAAATGGCACGATAAACGTGATATTCTTTGTCTGAGCACTGTACATACTGAGACAACCACTAAATATACACGGAGAGGAACAGAAATAGAAAAACCATCTCTTGTTGTTGACTACAACTCGTGTAAGCCTTTCATGGATCTATCAGATCAGCTGAAATCATATTGTTCGCCTTTACGTAAAGGCGTAAAGTGGTACAGGAAATTAGCCTTTGAAATATTACTTGGCTCAGCTGTAGTCAACGCATTCATATTGTATAAAACTGTGACGAAAGCGAAAATATCAATAACAGAATTCAGACAGAAAATTGCCCTTGGTATGTTACAAATCGAAGAAGTGACTGTCAGGGAGGAGACAGAAAATGAAAACAGAAAGCATGTTTTGCAGGAAGTTGCTTCAAAAGAGCGACGAAAATGTGTAGCATGTTATGCGAAAATAAGTATTGAAGAAGGCAGGAAAGCCGCTCAGAAGAAGGGACCTAAGTCAAAAATTTTTTGGGATATATGCAATAAGTTCTACTGTTTGACATGTTTTTTTGATGATCATAATTATTCTTTATAACTAGTTGCAATCATTTGCTGTTTTATGATATTGCAATTATTATTTATAACTAGTAGCCACTGTTTGTATTACAGCTCTAAAATAAAAAAGTGTTTTCATAACTGCATAGCATTATTAGAAGAAATATTAACCGATAAAGAAAATATCGTGGAAGTGCCGGGCTCATTCAGCAATATTACCCGCCAGGCCCCTCTATAACAGTTCTCATATAAGATGATGCGTTTTGAAGCACGGCAGTTGGGTTACAGGCTTTAATGTACACGATAGTAATGAAGGTCGACATACAGTTGTCGGAGCCCAATCGACCACAAGTTCTGAAACCCAAGTGTCAGGTGTCATGGCGGTTAACGTGTTAACGATTTTCAATGGCATTTCTTGTTACGCTGTTTGGAATCCAAACCATTATTTGTATGAGCTATTTTCTTGCCAGATGAAGGCATTTTATTATTATTATTATGTAAAAGAACGTGTTCCATAATCTAATGGTGAGTGTATTATAAATTGAAAATAAAACTTGAAATTAAACAATGACTTGTTGTGTTCTTCTTTCTCTTTCTAATAGGTACCTCTCCCCTTACTTATTTTTTGAACAGGTCAAGCTAGTAAATTGAAATTCGGATAGGTGGAATAATAAAAAATTGCTGTTCAAAATTTCAAGAAGGGTCTGCGCGCTATCATGGAACATTTTTTAAAAGTGGAATGAGGGTAATACAATATGTCATTTTGTTGCTCGTTATGAATGCTTTATGACCTTCTAGAATATGAAATTATCACCTTTTAAAATGGATAACTCACAGCCTGTCAAATTATAGCCATTTGAACGTTGAGCCGCCTTTAACCCAACATCTACTCATCAACACCTTATAGTGTTTATCTTAATTCCACTTTTATAAGAGGTATCCAAATGTACAATAAAATGAGATATTCATTGTTTTAAATTGCAGATTAAGCGATTCAGTGTAGAAATGACCAGCTGCTAGTACGCCACTTTGAGAGATTGATTTAATATTCTAGGGTTATAAAGTACTTGTATAGATCTTCAAAATGACATCCAATGCCATTCAGAAAAATTTCCCAAAATGGCGTGCTATCTTGGAAGTTTTCATCCACCATTTTTACATCAATTTTAACAACTCGAATTTCAACCTGCTAACTTAACCAGTTCAAAAAATAAGTGGGAGAACCATTTTCAAAAGAACTGTATTTTCTTGTAGCACACTCAAAATTTATGTAACTATCTAAAAAACGAAAAGACAAATTGATAGATATCAATCCTGTTTCACCTTGAAATCAATAAATTGAAATAACACTAAGCGACTTGTCTTTTTTGAAATAAGAAACTTGATTTTCTGGTATATCATAATGTTTATCCATTATGGATTTTTACACCATCCTACATTTTTTTAGGTCTCCGATTTAGAAATAGAACTTTTCACCTAACTTTTCAATTAAAAAAAAATGTGGCTGACTCGTGTTCTACAGATTGATTAATTCACTGTTTCATTGTGAATGCGGAAATATTATCATCATGAGACGCCACTGGTTGTAACGTAATCCTTTCCATAGCTGGCGGCCATTTTGTTTTCCCCACCAGTCGTCTCTCCCCCTGACCCCCAAGCAATGTTGGAAAATAAACAAATGCGTAATCATGAATGAATGGCAGTGTCTATACTATATATCGTCGGTGAAGCACCTCTATCTCTAGCAGATTGTAAGTTCAATATATGAAAAGTTATATTGTTGGGTATAATCATGCTGATTAAAATTCATACCACAACCAATCTTATATCATATGATTAACAGACTCTATCTTATTAATGAAACCAATTTGAGATGGATTCCATATGATTGAAGCATACATTAAAGCTATATAAAAAAGAAAACTATAATGTCATGAATCTTTTTAAGATTGGAAAATTTATTTATAAAAGTTAATTTGCAAACAAGAAACAAAATGCTACACATTTTTACTAGATTTACACCCGATTCATTATAGCCAACGTTGCAGACTAACACAAAAGTGTCACTTGCTGATCAGCTGCTCACCTCATTGGACGTCAAAGCGTGATGGATACTCGTGAAATACACCCTATTTCACGAGTATTCATTACGCTTTAACGTCTACTGAGGCTGATCAGCAAGTGACATTTCTGTGTTAGTCTGCGACGTTGGCAATTGTGAATCGCTTGTAAATCTAGTAAAACTTATTTGTAGCGTTTTGCTGTTTGCATGCAAATGAACTTAACTAAATAAAAGAGCTGTTAGCAAGTACAAAATGAATCTGTAGAGTACAAAAAACAAAACAAAATACCGCTCTGACTACCTGACGTTGACGGATCCGTCAGAATTATGTTTCCCGTGCCGAAATGGGGAATTTTGAGATATTACTAGATAACTAGCTGTCATTATTCCGTGAAATAAGGTGTAGGGTTTATACTGAATTTTATTACGAAGTTTTAGGTTGAAGAAAAGAAAATATTTGAGGTTATGTATTATGCATTGTTTACACGTTGTGTGGTGAATTTAGAGCTAAAAGCTGGTTTAAAACAGAAGTTATTCATATTTATTGCCTGTTATCTATGTATTTGGTGTTTAAAGTAGGAATATAAATAAGATGATATTAATAATTACCCGAAATTAGGCATTTATAAGATCAAATTTAAGTGAACAGGATGATTTCATAATACCATCGATGTCACAGGTTTTCATAGCAATAATAACGCTGTTTTTGTTTATTATATTTTTTAAATTGCATTTAGTCTCAATTGTCTGTTTTTAATTTCGTTAGACGTTTATTAGCATTCTAAGAACTAGTGATGTGAGCGAGAATATTCTCAAAACATATATTCTCGAGAACGAGAATATTCTCGTGGAGAAAATTCTCGCCGGTAATTTTCTTAAAATGCTTTTAGCAGTATGGTGTACACGCGGCCTTACCCGGCTGGGCGTTACCGTCGGAAACCTACTTTTAGCGAGCCAAACGGACCGCGTGAGGAATCCCGGAATCCTAGAGGTGTTTATTTGTATTTCTTCCTGTCATAACCTGCAAGCATCGCAACCGAACGACAGTATTAGAATTATTTTTCGTTTGTTGAACACGTAAATCATCAAAATCATGAGTGATAGGAAAATAACCAAATCAAAAAGTAATGTGTGGAATCATTTTGACTTGAAAAAACTTGAAGGAAAAGTAGTTTATACCTGCAAATTTTGTGCTAGTGAATATGTAAAAAATGCTACAAGGATGACTAAACACTTGTTGAAGTGCTTAAAATGTCCCAGTAATATTAAGAGAGACTTTAAAATAGTAGGATCAGAAAATGTATCATCTCCGTCGAGTACTGCAGCTTCATCTTTGATATTTTTTGCTTAAGTTAAATTCAATCAAGTCAAAATAAAACATTTTTTCAGATCAGTGTGAAGAGGAGGAAACTTTAACAAAAGCTGCCAGCATATCAGGTAGCTTTGGCGGTAACTCATCAAACTCTCGTTCCACATTACGCAGATTTATGGATTTTTCAAATAAAGAGGAGCAAGCAAAGTTGGATCAACTATTTGCAAGAGCAGTTTATGCTTCTGGAACACCATTTGCAATCTCGGAAAATAAACATTGGCAGTTATTCTTTCAAACATTAAGGCCAACCTTTAAAATGCCCTCACGATATTATTTGTCTAATCAACTTCTAGATACAGAATATGAAAGCATCGCAGCCAACATACAAATTAAAATAAGTGAAGCCAATGCTTTAGGCCTGCAGTGCGATGGTTGGAGCAACAGGAGAAACGAATCCATTATTAACTTTATTATCACCACTCCCACACCTATTTTCTTCAAAACTTTCACTACTGACACAAATGGACATACTGCAGAGTACATGGCCGAAAAAATAGAAGAGGTACTAACAGAAATAGGACCAGAAAAATTTAGTGCTCTAGTGACGGACAACGCCAGTGCAATGGTGAAAGCCAGGAACAATATTCACGAAAAATATAAACATATATCTGTTTACGGTTGCGTCGCCCACACACTTAACTTATTAATAGGAGACATCTCAAAAATGCGAACTATGGCTTCGATAGAGGACGATGTTAAAAGTATCGTTAAGGAAATTAATAATTCTCATCTTTTACTATCCACTTTGAAAAAGATCCAGACTGAAAAAAAGGGGACATCTGTACCAATATCGCTAAAGTTACCCGTCAAAACTCGATGGGGATCAATTACCCACAGCTTGAAAAGTCTGCTTGATACCAAATATGCCCTTAAAGCAGTGGTTCCTAACCTGGGGGTAATTACCCCCGCAGGGGTAAAACGGAGATTCTAAGGGGGTAACACGGGATGGCACGAAATAGTATTAAAATAGCAATAAACAAAATAATAGTACGGTAAACGGTAGCACGGCGCTCTCATGCGCGCGGCTGACGGCGACGGCGGCGGGTGAGCTGCGGTGTGGGAGGGGTGAAGCATGACTAGCGGCGGGCCGGACAGGCGGCGATGTTCATTTTGTTTACCTAAGCTTATGGTACCCATTCACGTACAGGCGGACTGCAGTCCCGAACTGTGAACGATCTGGCCGTCAGTCCAAATTTCAGCATACACGTACAGGTGGCCGGCAGGTCTGTGCCTGCAGTTTACAAAGATTGCACAAAGTGTGTACGTGTGTGGTGGTTAATCGTCAGTCCGGGTCGTACGATAGCGACTTTCATTGTATTTAAAAATTGTGTACACAGTTTTGGTAAAAAATGTCTGATGTGACGTTAAATCAGCCATCGTTTGTTACTGGTTTTATTGATATTTATCGACAGTTACCAAGTTTATGGAATATTAAGTCAAAACAGTATTCAAATCGAAAAGAAAAGGCAAAGGCGTATGAGAAACTTATAAGTTATTGCAAAACCGTAGACAAAAATGCTTCGATGGATATGGTAAAAAAGAAAATTAATAATATTAGAAGTGCCTTTCGAAAGGAGCACAAAAAAGTTCTAAAATCAAAAAGAAGTGGATCATCTACAGAAGAGCTGTATGAGCCAACTCTTTGGTATTATAAATTACTGCTTTTTACGGCTTCGCAGGAAGAACCTAGGATGTCAGTTTCAAATGATGATGAGTCGGAGTCGGAGGGTGACGATGCCAATAATGAGGTAAGGAAATTTTTTGCAAATAAAAAAATCAAATAAAATCTTTTTATTTCTTGTCTAAAATAAATTCTTTAATTCTACAAAATTATCAAGTAAGATACATATTATAATAGGTACATTGATTAAATAAAATTTTCTTGCCAGGAAACTTTTCCAACAGTATTAAAGAAATTTTTATAATTCACTCTATTTTCTTTGGCTTCACGTGAAGCATTACGACCATATCCTGGTTGTAAATTATCTAATGGTCTTTCTGCTCTCCAGTCTCCCCTTATTATATCCCCTGTGTCAATAATTTCGGTGTCAACATCATTTCTCGTTATATATGAAGTTTTAGAACGTCTCAAAAAATTATGCAACGCGCAAGCTGCTAGTACAATTTTGTCAATTTTGTCAGGTTGCATATTAATTGGAGTATGGAATACTCGAAAGCGATTAGCTAATATACCGAACGCGTTCTCAACCGTGCGGCGCACACGGCTAAGTCTATAATTGAAAATAGATTCTTCTTTTGTTAAATTGTTTCCCGGGAAAGGTTTTAAAATATTTTCATGTAATGCAAACGCATCATCTGCCACAAAAACGAAATTTAAATTATGCTTTGTTACGTCATTAGAAGGCAAATTTAGCTTTTTTTCTATAAGTTTATCGTAAAATTTTGTATATTCTAAGACCCCTCCATCAGAAACTCGCCCATTACAGCCTACATTAACATATATGAATTCGTAATCAGCATTAACAAGGGCCATGAGAACTATACTGTGATAGTCTTTGTAGTTAAAAAAATATGACCCGCTGTTGGCTGGTTTAACAATTCGCAGATGTTTACCATCAATAGATCCTCCACAATTAGGAAAGTTCCATCTGGTTTCAATATTATAAGCTATTTCTTGCCACTCCTCTGATGTTTTTGGAAACTGTAAAAAAAATTATAATATACATTTTGTATTTTGTACTTTCAGGAAGATGTCACCCAGCATGATACTCAATTTTCACCGCTTACTGAAGATGCGTTGCAAGCACCGTCTGAAATATATCAGCTATCACCACCACAAACACCGCATCAGTCATCAACCTATTCACGTCCATCAACTTCCAGATCTTCTAATAGTGCAAAAAGAAAGAAGTATGGACAGGAAGAAAGTATCCAAAGGATTTGCGCTAAGTTGGACAGAGAAAATGATGAATGTGACAGTATTGGAGAAAATGTGGCCCATAAACTGCGCCGAATGGACAGCGACCAGAAAATGTATGCTGAATTATTACTTCACCGTCTTCTCTTCCTTGGTGTTCAAAAGAAATTATGCGAGGAATCTCATATATGTATAAATTCGGCACATAGCGTTTCATCTCATTATAATACTATGTTGCCAATGCAACTTCAATACAATCAACAGCCACAACCTTTAACTCCTTCTCCTTTCCAACCCATATTAACAAATCAGCAACAACAAACTTTCACTTCTTCGCAACACACATCAACTTACAATCAGCAACAAAATGTCACTCTTTCCCGACCCTCAGCAACTATTTCTGAAACACAGTACACAAATGCAGAAGGAGAAAACCTCGACATAAATATAAACTATATAAGACCTCTTGATAAAACTACCCCTGAAACAATGGAGGAAAGCGGCAACACGTCGAAACTTAAAGGATCTTTAACTGAATTGCTGGTTTTTAATCGATGAATTTACGAAACTTCAATGACTACATACTTAAAGTTTTGTTTTTACTTGTCGACTTGTTCATTATTACCTATTGTCTATGTTTTTGACAATAGAAATCAAAAGTTTATTTAAAATTCGTTTCTATAACACAAGTTGTTCACCTTTAAGTTTTTATGTAAGGATACATTTTTCAATAAAATACGTAGTTGAAATATTATTTTGAAATTTTACTAAAACATAAAAAATTACTTCAAATTACGACAAAAGCGAAAATTTTGGAATGCAAGCATAAAATACATAATTTTTAATAAGAATATTAGCGAGGTATTTAGGTTAAAAAATAAATACCTAGGTACTTTTATAAATGTACGCTTCTAAAAATTTTGGCTTTCAATCTCCTTCAACTATTCCATTTCTTTCTAAAATATTATGCACTGTATTCCAAAATTTTATGAACTTACCTTCATATATTCCTTTTTCAACGCCTTGTAAATCCATTCGCAGGTTTCTGGTATAATTTTTCCTAGTGCTTGGGGAGAAATAATGGCAGAAAATTTCAAATCCTCAAATGTACGTCCAGTTGCCAGATACCGCAAAGTCACTATTAACCTTTCTTCAGCACTAATGGCTTTTCTCATTACTGTATTCTGTCGTTTTATGTGGGGTTTAACTAAAGTTAATAATTTTCTGAAAGAAGCCTCGTCCATCCTAAGATAATTTTTAAAATCTTCGCTGCTGGAATCTTTCAATCGCTTCAGGAGTTTCATATGAGATAAATTTTCACGATCTCTTAACCATTCCTTCACCCAAAAACGTTTGCCATTTTTTCCGCGTTCATTAGTTAATAGCAAAATCAAAAGTAACAAAATAAGTTTCTTTTTTCTTAACATTTTACCACTGCTTTATTGTTCTTTTGTCTACACACTACAAGCAAGAACTGCGAAACTTTTGCGACGGACTGTGGATGTATGGCAAATAATGAGGCGACCTGCAGTTCTAGGACTGTCAGGCGATGGCCTGCAGGCCGCATCGTTTGTATACAACTGAACGTGTATGGTCTATATCGCAGGCCACGACTGCAGGTCAAATTTCAGTCCATTGCCTGCAGTCCGCCTGTACGTGAATGGGTACCATTAGGAAGAACACGCATTTTATTTGTTCCGCCGCGCATTGCAGAAATCGTATTTTTAAACGGTTTAAATTCAAAGGTAAGCAGTGTTTGTTAATATCGTCACGTTAATATTGTCACGAGTGATTTGTTTACGTAGGTATGTATTAGTTGATTTTTGTTTTAGGTACCTACAGGTGTTTTTGACATGGCTTCTACTTCATCTGGCAAAAAGCGCACTTATAAAGAAGCATTTCTACAATGGGGTTTCACAAGCATCGTAGACAAAAATATAGAAAAGCCTCAGTGTGTTTTATGTAATAAAGTGCTTAATCCAGAAAGCATGAAACCGAGCAAATTAAAAGAACATTTTGCTAAAGTTCACAAGGAGTTCGCAGATAAAAATATAGATTTTTTTAAGAAAAAGGAGAGGATTCTGAAGTCTTCCCGCATGGATTCAACAGGCAATATACAGAAAGCAAATGAATCATGCCTTCAAGCTTCATACAAAATTGCTTATCGCATCGCACGTAATAAAAAACCACACACTATAGGAGAGGACCTCATCAAACCTTGCTTGTTAGATGCAGTAGCACTTGTTATTGGTGAGCAACATGTAGCTAAGATTAAACAAATCTCACTCTCAAACACTACTATTCAAAGTCGCATATGTGAAATGAGTGCCGATATTCTAGCAACCGTTATTTCTGAAATAAAGGAAAGTCATATGTTTGCGCTGCAGTTGGACGAGTCCACAGATGTTGCTTCGTGTTCACAATTATTGGTGTTTACACGATACATTAAAGATGATGATGTAAAGGAGGAATATTTGTTCTGCAAGTCTTTGCCCACTACTACTCGCGGCGAAGACGTATTTCAAACGCTAAAAGAGTTTATTGAGGAAAATGGCCTAGACTGGTTAAAGCTGATTGGTACTTGTACAGATGATGATGGGCATCCGTTCTGGTTTTCAGGCACTCGTGAAGCAAGTTGCTCCTCAAGTTTTCGGCTATCATTGCTTGATACACCGTTACGCTTTGGCTGTGAAAACGCTTCCATCAGATTTGCTAAACACGTTGAGTGACATAGTAAAAATTGTTAATCATATTCGAGGCAGCGCTACTAACTCAAAATTATTCAAAGTTTTGTGCGATGAAGTTGGTGCTACATTTAATGCTCTTTTGTACCATACAGAGGTACGTTGGTTATCAAGAGGCAAAGTTCTAAGTAGGGTTTACGAATTACGAGAAGAAATTGGATTGTTTTTTGAAAATCAGAGAACACAAAAAGAAAAAGAATATTATGCAAAAATTAAAGACCAAACATTTATTCTAAAAATGGCGTACCTTGCTGATTTTTTCACTGAAATTAATAGTCTGAATATTTCACTGCAAGGAAATGAAACGAATATTTTGACGTTGCAGGATAAAATCGCAAGTTTTTTGCGCAAATTGGAACTTTACCAACGCAGAGTTCAAGCTGGTGATGTGTCAATGTTTACACAACTAAGTGAGCAATTAGTAAATAATAAACAAGAGAAAATCTCGTTTGAAAATTCCGTGGTTCAACATTTAACTGCCGTGATAGACTCACTGCAGCAATATTTTCCGAACATGGACAGTCGTGAGTCCTACTCCTGGATTTTAAGACCATTTTCTACTTGCGTCGATATTTTCAAGGACGAAGATGTGTCAGCGAAAGTAGAGTTTCTCGGGCTGCATGAGAATAACTCATTGAAAGTTGATTTTCAAAATGATAAACTAAGCACATTTTGGCGAAAAGCAGCTGCAGAATATCCCATTATAGCTGACAGAGCTTTAAAAATGTTGATTCCATTTGCTACAACTTACAGATGTGAAACTGGTTTCTCAACTCTTGTTACATTAAAAACAAAAGCCAGAAACCGTCTGAATGTTGAGCATGACATGAGATGCGCGTTGAGTGAAACCGAACCTAATATTGTCAAACTTGCGAATGCAAAGCAATTTCAACCTTCACACTAGTTAACTCCAAGATTTACATATTACTTTACTTTACTAGTTACCTAAACGTGCAATTTCTTAGAATTTAGTTAGATAATAAACATATTTTCGTTCGAATTTGTGTGGTTTTAATTATTTTAAATTGGCTAGGGGTAAACTCAATTCCCATACTTGTTCACAGGGGTAGTGACATTGAAAAGGTTAGGAACCACTGCCTTAAAGCTTTAGCAGTTTGTGAAACTGTGGATACTACATTGAGTAAGCAAGTAGAAAGATTGGTTTTAGATGAAGCTGTATTTTGGGTAAGAGTGTTAAAACTGTTCAATTTAATTAACCCCATTGTTGAATACATAACCAAACTAGAGTCAGACAAGCCAAAACTAAGTCAAGTAGTAGAATGTTTCTATAGTTTGGAAAAACATTTTCAAACAGTGTTACCTTCAAGTCCCCTTACAAAGCAAGAAGAGCAAAATTTACAGGAATTTTTAGTAAAAAGAAAGCGTATTGTCATAAACCCAATACATTTGGCAGCTAATATATTAGACCCTCGTTTTAATGGTGTTCATTTGACCAATGAGGAGCAAATTCATGGTACTGATTTTATTGATAATATGGCTAACTCACAATACCCAGAAGACGCAGCAAGTATAATGGCAGAATTGGCGTATTACAGATCTAAAGAAGGATTATTTGCAAAACCGTACGTTCTAAGGTCCATCGATACTTTAGAGCCGGAAATTTGGTGGAAAGGAACCTGTTTTGGAACAAAACTAAGTAAATTAGCGGTTCAAATTCTGGGAATGCCTGCGACTAGCGCGGCTACCGAAACAAGTTTCAGTACATATGGTTTCATACACTCTTCAAAAAGAAACCGACTGACAGCTGAGCGAGCCGGTAAAGTTACTTTCATAGCTCATAATTTAAAACTATTGGACCAGGACCAGGTATCAGCGATGTCCAAACGGTCCAAATATGAAGAAGAGAACCCTTCTACTTCGCACTGCCAGATGAAGGAGAGTCTTGAAAAAATAGAGGCAGTGAGAATGATATTGGAGTCTGACGATGGTGATGAGTCGGAGGCGTCAGAGAATGAAAACTGTGATCTGGAAATTTTTTCTGACTCAGATTCATTTTCTTAACTTCATTTTGTTTAAGTCTGTTCAACTTTTTACTTTGTTTTTTATGTTTTTGAAATAACGAGAATATTTTTTTATTTATCTCCAAAGATGGAACATAAGTTATTATATTTTGTTTTTGTTAATTTTCAATAAAATCTTAGATTTTGTGTAGGTTTTACTACTTCTAGTAGGTCGTTATCAGAAAATTCTCATTATTGAGAATATTCTCGAGAATATTCTCAATTTTTTTGTTCTCGAGAATTTTCCATCACTACTAAGAACGTATATTTTTGTTTCAGGATGATCTTCCAATATTTCCAACAATTAAACGTGAGCATACTACCTTTTTCATCAATAAGAATGTGAAGAGAAGAAAATCAAGTTGTCGAAAATACAGAGCGAAAAAACTTGAGGAAGAGAACAAGAAAAAGTGACACCTGGAAAAAAAAAACAAGCGAAAATATTTCATTAACACTGGACAGTCCTACCTTACCTCTGGAGGAAGAACAAAAAGAGCGAAAGTGCTGCAACCGCCTTGTGGTGAAAAATGCAAGTTCAAATGTAGCCAAATGATAAATCATGTAAAACGGCAGCAGATATTTAAGGCGTTTATGACAGTGGTGATAAAACCCGACAAAGAAATTTTATAGTGTCTTTGCATGGAAAAAACACAAGAAAGAAAATATCGAAATGCCAAACCTGGTACCACAAGAAAGTCTGGCAGTGCAATTATTAAGTGCTTCTGTAGTAGAAGCGCTTTGTTACTGTGAACAATAATTGAACTTGGGAGGATATTGCTAAATTTATCAACATTATAAATAACTGTTTTGACATTTTGAATAGTAGATCTCTGATTCCTCCAGGTTACAAGTCTCTATGCAGTCGAAATATAGATTCAACAAAAACCTGTATTGAGGAGACAATCAATTATATATCATGTTGAAATTTATTGATGGAAAAAAATTGATAGAATCTAGGAGAAAAACATGTTTTCTAGGTTTAATTATATCTCTAAGAAGTGCTTTGTTGATGTATAATGATATAATTTTAAATAGAAACGAATTAATATATTTGCCATTATATAATGACTAGACTACCGTGAATTGTTTTTCTCTTCAATAAGGTCTACAGGTGGTTGGAATAATAATCCAACAACTTGGCAATTGACTTCCGCCTATAAAAGACTACTTGCTAGAGCAAAAATTAGGGAGGGCAGCGAGGGTAATTGCATCCCGCTGGATGATATACCAATTTTCACCCAATCCAGTAGACTGAAAATAAAAATGGATAATCTAAATGCAAATAATTTCAACTTGTTAAATGAAATTCGGGAGCAACCTTCTTTTCAAGCAATATAGAGGTACCATGACTATATAATGAATAGTCATATGATAAGTAAGTGTTCCACACAAATAATAATTTATATAGCTAGTTTTTGGTTTAACTTACCCGTCTAAAGACGTTATATTATATTTTAATGTATTCAATCGGAGTTCTGTAATAATTTAAAAAGCATGTTTTAAACTCTCCCACTAATCATATATATTTACCAACAGAATCTGTTATTTCCAAATACCTGAATATTAGGATACATTTCATGAATAAACGAAAATCGGAAATAACAGATCCTGTTAGCATAATTCTTGTAACCTATTTTATTTTGTACTTATGTGTAGTTACTATACTCTATTTATATAGATTTTAATTGTTTTCAATAAATTATCTCAGTTCATACTATATGTTCATTAATATAATATAAAATAAAAAAAATAAAATTATTTTTAAATCACAATATAAAATGTGCAATCAACACATTAAGTATGTTTTAGGCATTTTAAACAAATATGCTCTCAATAAAAAGGCTTACTATATATGATAATAATCGTGTTTACCAATAATTGAAATTTACATTGTAATAATAAATTATAATTGAAGTGTCATAATATTATAACGCACTATAACTCATACTCAATACATGTTTCTGTGTAAACTACATTTTTATTTTTAATAAAAAACATCGAAATGTACCTACTCTGTGTGAGATTTGAAACTTTCATAAATAAAAAGCGGAGATGGCTCGTCCTCTCTCTTTTCTAGTCTAAGGAAAATGTGAACACAT